CACCCGCTCCAGGCTTTGGTCAAATGCAATGCCAAAACTCAAGCTTTGAAGGCTCGATGGCAAGGTCACCCGCTCCAGGCTTTGGTTGAAATTATCACCAAAACTCAAGCTTTGAAGACTCAACGGCAAGGTCACCTGCTCCGGGCTTTGGATGAAATTCTGATCAAGACTTAAGGTTTGAAGACTCGATGGCAAGGTCACCCGCGCGAGGCTTCGGTTGAAATAAAAGCCAAAACTCAAGCTTTGGAGACTTGATGGCAAGGTCACCCGCTCCAGGCTTTGGTTGAAATCATCACCAAAACTCAAGCTTTGAAGACTCAACGGCAAGGTCACCCGCTCCAGGCTTTGGTTGAACCAAACGCCAAAACTCAAGCTTTGGAGACTCGATGGCAAGGTCACCCGCTCCAGGCTTTGATTGAAATCAAAGCCAAAACTCAAGCTTTGAAGACTTGATGGCAAGGTCACCCACTCCAGGCTTTGGTTGAAGCAATCACCAAAACTCAAGCTTTGAAGACTCGATGGCAAGGTCACTCTCTCCAGGCTTCGGTTGAACATATTGCCAAAACTCAAGCTTTGAAGGCTCGATGGCAAGGTCACCCGCTCCGGCCTTTGGCCAAAACTCTTGCCAAAGCTCAAGCTTTGAAGACGCGATGGCAAGCTCACCTTCTCCAGGCTTTGGTTGAACAGATGGCCAAAGCTCAAGCTTTGAAGACTCGATGGCAAGGTCACCCGCTCCAGGCTTTGGTTGAAATTCTGAACAAAACTTAAGGTTTGAAGACTCGATGGCAAGGTCACCCGCTCCAGGCTTTGGTCAAATGCAATGCCAAAACTCAAGCTTTGAAGGCTCGATGGCAAGGTCACCCGCTCCAGGCTTTGGTTGAAATTATCACCAAAACTCAAGCTTTGAAGACTCAACGGCAAGGTCACCTGCTCCGGGCTTTGGATGAAATTCTGATCAAGACTTAAGGTTTGAAGACTCGATGGCAAGGTCACCCGCGCGAGGCTTCGGTTGAACCCATGGCCAAAACTCAAGCTTTGAAGACTCGATGGCAAGGTCACCCGCTCCAGGCTTTGGTTGAACCCACTGCCAAAACGCAAGCTTTGAAGACTCAATGGCAAGGTCACCCGCTCCAGGCTTTGGTTGAACTCCTCGCCAAAACTCAAGCTTTGAAGACTCGATGGCAAGGTCACCCGCTCCAGGCTTTGGTTGAATTTATAGCCAAAACTCAAGCTTTGGAGACTCGATGGCAAGGTCACCAGCTCCAGGCTTTGGTTGAAATCATCACCAAAACTCAAGCTTGCAAGGCTACAGGGGAGATTGTGCAAAAAAAAACTCCATTTGTTAGTCCCTCAAGTTTCGTAAGACCTTCCAGAGCAAACTCTCTCTCAGCAGTTGGGAGCCCACAGACATAACACCATGCAGTGTACACATTTGTTGGTATGTAAGTGCAGGACAGCATTGCCGGTTTTCCAACAATCCCTTGCTCTCCCAGGGTTTGATCGAGCATCAGCTTTCCATTCACATGATGCACAGCGAGCTTTGCGCCGGGCTTGCATGGAAGCTTCTCAGACACCAACCTCCGCAGGTCGTACCCAAACATAGAGCGGGGGACGCTTGATCTCACTCCTTCTCCAGTCAGGCACAGCACCTGAAGATCGACCTCATCAGTTTCATCTGCTGCACCTTTGTCAGTAGATGATGGCTCCGCGTAGCCATGTTGCGCACCGGACATTGGTCAACATTTACACACTCCTCACCAATGGAAAAAGCTATAAAAGACCTTCACAAACACATAAACATGTATAACTGTACAACCCTTAAATGTACCTCTAAATCTATCGGCGACCCCAGATATTGCCATGTCCAATTTCTTGGTTTTCAGGGCACCTGCCTGATGGGGGTGCTGCCCCAAATCTGTGCATACCTTGGTCCCATAAGATCCAACAGCTTAGAAAATGACTATGGCTATGGGGTATATCACCCATAGGATCCATGTATGCTATATATGGTAACATTTACCATCAATATACCCCCTTGATGTTAGCATATATACCATACATGGATGATATGGGTCATGGTACATCGCATCTGTATGCATTTTCGGGCCCCGGTTCATGCTCAGGGGAAGTTTGACTCAAACGTTGCCTACCATGGCGCAGAGGATTTCAGTTGTTTGCTGGTTACACACATCATAGCTAACTATGAGATGTCCCCGTTTCTGTTGATTATCTAAAACATTATATCAAATTCATGTTTGATAGGTAGTATACTTGTATCCAACCATATGGTAAATGTATCATACATGGGTCTTTCCATAAATGGTGGATCCCCAAAATGGTTGGTTTATAACGGAAAATCCCAATCTAAAATGGATGATTTAGGGATACCCCCATTTATGGAGTTTCCCATATCTATATCTATATAATTCATAATTTATCTATAGAAATTTATTATATATATAATTCATAATTTATCTATAGAAATTTATGTATATAATATATATATATAATCCATAATCATTCCATAATCATCTTCAATTATATTATGGAATGATTATGGAATGATTATGGATTATATTATATTATATATATACATTGTAGAACTGGTTCCAGTTTGTTTCTTCCCAGTTCCACCGGGACCCCGCCTGCTTTCGACAGTTGGCGATCTCCGGTTTCCGCTGCTCCAGGGCGGCGTTCAGCGCGAAGTGGTCGGATTCGGCCTCCATTTTTTTAATGGGAAAACCATGGGAAAACCATGGGAAAACCATGGGAAAACCTGGATTTATAATGGGAAAACCATGGGAAAACCATATTTTATGGGAAAACCACCCAACAAAATGTGTGGATGGTAAATCCTGCAGTTAGTAGATGGAAAAAAAAATCTTATTAAAAAAATCCCATGATTTACAGTGTTTCATAGTTACCTAATAGCTACAAAATGGCTACATGGATCAATTTGATCCTATCGCATATACCAGGATGAATGAATAATTGCTGGAGTTTACACACAAAACTGTTGCTTGAATCAAGAAAAATTAGACTCAACTATCGAGTTTTGGGGATTCAACCATCAAAAACAAGGGTTCAATCAATAAACATGGGATTCGATCAAAAACATACGTTTGATAAGAAAAAAAATGAGCTTACCAATAACAGTTGGGGATTTCACCAACAAACATTGCGATCTAACCATCATAAAAAAAATTGGACAAAGCCGATTGACGACGTAGGCTGCTGGTTGGCAAGGACACCAACAGAAAGTGGGCATATAGCCAAGAAGTGTAATTGTCATACATACCCAGATCGGGGTGAGTATCATATGCAAAACCAAGATTTTTAACAATTGATTGGCATTCAAATGCTGCACCAGTGTCATATATAAGCCTGCACTAATCTGCATATGTCTTATGCCTTATGCGAAAACAGTAAACAATATTTCACTAATTACTAAACAGTATCATCACCATCATCACCATCATCATAAAAAGGCAAAATGTTCCCTATATAATCCATTCAGCATTGGATCAAAGAATCAAAGATTGTATTTAAAGTTACCCAAATATAATATCATATGGTCATATGGTTGGTGAAATATATGATACTGTACCATCATCTCAACGTTATATCCATTTATATACCTGCAAAATATCCCGATCACTGTATACATCTGCATAGTGTTTCCCAAGCTGGTGCCCGAACCACCTACAAAATTCCACACACAAATCATCATCCAAAGTCATGGAACAATGGTCATGTAACATGTATTCATCGTGAAAAAGATGTTCTCAGCCATTGTTACCTATAAATTGTCCATCTTTGGTATGTGCTTCCAATAATTTCATCAACGAACCTTCGGGAAACTATGGGAAAATCTGAACATATATGGTTATGGATGAATACCATTTTTTTAACCGACCAAAAACTATGGGCTATGGTTCATCCAAGCCCATCCCAAACTATGGTACCATTTCTTGGGAGGGTGAGTATCCATTTCCCACCATTTACCAGCGATTAAAAAAGGGCTACAGGGGGTCAAAACCCATCCCGGCCCATGATGCAAAAGGGGGTGCACGCCAGGCATCATAAGTTGGTAATAACTAGTAATAACCAAGGTAGTACCCCAGCTAGAATAATGGGTTATATTATATCATATATATATATATATACATATGTGTGTGTGTTATATGATTACAAACCACTTGTAAACAATCATCATTGGATTCCTCATAATGGGAATATTTACACCTATTACTGAGGGTATGTCGGAAGATAGACTAGCTGGTTAATTGGATCTTCCAGTGCATGAATTGTGGTAATCCACAATATGTTGGATAGTCTAACCCATATAGTTATCAACCATCTGTTAATTGTCAACCAACCACCAACAACCATCATGTATCAACAGTATTCCCACATTTAAACAATTTTGATGATATTTCAAATGATGGCAAAATGGCTGTTGACACATGCCCATATTGATGTGGCACCCCCAGTTCTCAGTTGGTTTACACTCCATTTGAATATACATATATCCCCCACCCCGAAGTTATTGTAGCTGTAAACCAACTTAGCTGTGTTGGGGGGCCCACATTGAATGATATATGGGTCCCTTAACCTTGTAATTTTGCCCCATCAAGTCCCATTACATCGCCATGCTTGTTGGTGAACTCCCATTTTTTCGTGGATGGATAAATCATCATGTCTCATTGTTAAACCGTCTTAAATCACCACTTTTCACCATGTTTCATGGTGAAATCGCCATTCCTCATGTCTTATTTTTTCTCACCATGGTTTCCACATGTCTTCAATCATCATGTCTGAAAAATATGGATAATAGCTACAATCAATCATGATCATAATATTATATATAAATTATCTATCATAATATTCTGATATCTATTGATATCTCAGATCATCATGTCTAAATCCATCGTATTTTCCCAGCTTTTCCAGCGCCATCCCATCCCTTCTCGCAGCATTTCCAGCGCGTTCCCCCGCGCCTCCCGCACCTCGGTCTCCAACTTCTGGCGACGCACCTCAGAGGCCTCAAGCGCCTTGCGCCTGAGATCCGTTTAGGCGTCCGGCGCAAGGCAACGTCCGTGGGATCATGATCTGCCAAGCATGGTGTTTTTTGGATGCAACGATGATATATAATGATTATAATGATTATAATGATTATGGTTGGGATTAATCATTATAATGATCATTATAATGCGATTATTGTTATAATATATATATATAATCATTCTCTATCATAATATTGTAATGATCATTTTAATGGATGCCATTATAATCATTATATTTAATCATTATCTATGATCATTAATAAATGCCAAAGATTGTGGATTATTAATGATTATTTGTGATTTCTGTAGATCATCTATAATTATTATATGGATTGTTTTCATGATCATAGATAATGGTTAGTAATAATGGATGTTTGATCATGATAAACGGATTATTTAATGATCACTATTAAGGATTATGGGATGATAATGATGATTCAGGATTAAGGATGATGATATACTGTTTATATAAATCTATATATATATATTGTCTATAAACTACAAATGATGATAATAATATATAAGATGATACAGGATATGTGTGTAGATAAGATCCCATATATAATGAGATCCCATATATGTTATATATGATTATGGTACTATATAAAGAAAGCATAGATCCCATACTAAGGATTATAAAATGATAGTATGATAATACTGGATGAGAAATACCAATAATACTGGATTGTGGATGATTATATGCTGATAATTAAAGATGATTATGGGATGATTATGGGTTATGTATATATATATATATACACATACATTTCCTTGGATCATCTATAATTATTATGGATTATTTATTTATATATGTATATATCTGGGAAACTCCATAAATTGGGGTATCCCTTCATTCATTTAAATAATTTCAATAGGATTTGTCCATGAAAGAAACTATCCAGCTATTCGGGTACCCCCCCATGTCTATGGTCTATGGAAGCCTCCAAATAACTACATATGATATATATATATAACATATATGTGTAGTATACAATCAAGATGTATCAAGATGCTACAACAGAACATTGCAGCAGATAGCGATGATTTGAGGCCTGACATGGTGCTCTTTGTGGAGAAAGGTGGCGTCCCAGAGGGTCGACTGGGGAATCATCCCCCAGAACACCCTGCGAAAAGGATGGAAAAGGGGAGTGTTCATCATCCAAACACCTGTCAATCACATTGCATGTCGGGAAGAGGTAAATCCAAAATCCATAACAGTCTATGATCTATACCCAACAACCAACCAGCCCAAGGAGTGAACTGGGGCACTGATCACCACGGCCCAGAGGTGCCTTTTCCGCAAGTCATGCTCGGTTTTGGAAAGTTCTTCTCTCACTTGTTGCGCTTCCTGCAGTGTTTCGGGGAAGCTGGCTTGAGTCACTGGGTTGATTGGTTTCCCTGGTGGGCATCACACATGGCTGGAAAACGCAGCAGAATTGTATACATGACACATCATGGCACATCATTGACCTAGTCTTCGTCGTCTGCGTTTTCGTGTGTCCTTATTCCCCTGAAGCAATTCGTTTGATCTTTTGATGATGGCTACCACCCAAAAGAAAGCGCACCTCAGGCAGTTTGACCTCACCACCTTAAAAGGGATATCCAGGACAATCTGGGCATCCAGGCCAACAGTAGATGAATAAACCAGTCGGCAACTGTTGGGGCACGAGACACGCTGCTTCAAAAACACCTGACAGTTGCAACGTATCGGTGTATCCCCGATATCTCAGTTACAAAAGATGTGGAACAATCAAACAGTTATGGAACTTTACATGCATAACTGTTTGCTTTTCCATTCCCATATCACCCAGCAGTTGCTTCCCATGTTTTTTCACCCAGCTCCCTACCCACCCAGCTCCTCCAGATTTTTCGTAGCGTCCCGGTCGGCGCAATAGAGACGGAACAGGGCCTTGGTGGCGTCCCGGTCGGCTCAAGAGCGGGACACCGTTGGAGACCCTCCAGAGACTTAACACAAATATGGAGAAGCAAACAGTTACTATTATGTATCTATGGTATCTATATGATATATATATATACTGTATATATATATACATAATATGTATCTATGGGAATGGCTCCAAAGGCTTGAACTTCGAAAATTGTTATGTTTTTCGGTGTGCCGCCGGCCTTGTTGAGCATCGAAATTGCTTGAAGTCGCCATCATAGCACTTTCGAATCCAAACAGAACCCCATCACTGCTGCTCACTTTGCAAAATTCCATGGGCCACGCTGTAAGGAAAGCACGCAAACAGTTGTGCCATGGGCATTCATCCAATCTTCGATTGAATTGAGTTTCCAGGAATTGTCATGTAGGTTGAATAACCTTGTGACCATTCTTTGTGCTATCAGTAAAGTAGCAGTGACCATATCAGTATCTTCCCCTTTTTGCAGTACAAAAAGAAGCCTGTTCAATCAATCTGATGTAGTGAAGACCCTGTAGTCCAAGGACCTCACGGCCTCCACAATCAAGGCCTCCTTCTGCGCCTTCAAATCTTGGAAGCGCTTCACCTGAGAAAACTGGGACATTTCACGAAGGCAGGCGCTTCCAACAGAGGTTTGACCTGTGAGATTTGGTGAAAAGACCCGGGAGCGTTTTGAAGAAATTGAGGACTGAAGGAAGCGAAATGGACTTGGAAAATATAGGAGTTTCAGGTGTTTCATTTGCGGGAAAAAATGTGTTGAGCAAGGAAAGCATCTTTTTGATTCCGTGTGAGCATCCAAAGTATAGCATGTTGGTCGACCAATATGAGATGGTCTCAATGTATGCTGATCACGCTAACCAACAATCAGCAGGGTATCCGTTACAAACCTGACCCAAAGCATGTTATCAGAGCACGGAAGGATTCGGGCAAGAATACTGGCGCTGGTTTAACCACTTGAATGGACCAACAAAAAAGCTAACCTCAGCATCAAACGGATTTAGAACCCTTCAAAAATGGTTGCATCATATTTCCTGTTGATATTATAATATATATATATACATCATATAAAAATGTATAAGGCACAGCATGCCACAGCTAAGAGTGGGTTCTGTTCATATTTCCTGTTGGACACTCCGACTCTACAATAGAGCCGCTATTGGGCTGCGCGACATCAACAAGCACGCCATGGGATTGGGTGGATCCTACTCCATGTGCGGCGATCTGGTGAAAACATCAGTTCACCTTTCTTTCAACTCCAACAAGGATTGCAGCCAGGTACAGTACATAGATGTAATATATAACCCCCCCTAATGTTAAACACGCCATAAATGGTCCCAAATGTGTGTAAATCCCCTATTGAGTATTGGTAGGAAGGAATTACGGTGGTTCAGATATTGTTCAGGTTGTTATCCCAGCTATGAATTGGTGATTGGCCCAAATCCCGAAGCGGTGGATGGTACAGTACCCATCATTTCAGTTGGCAGCTGCAACCTCAGCATGATCAATTACTATCTATAGTCACTATAGTCTATAGATATCTGGATATATCTATCTATATTACTATCTATAGTCACTATAGTCCTATACTCATCAAAATATCTGGATATATCTATAGTCACCTTTCGTCTACCTCAGCATGATCAATTACTGGGATGCGCATCCCAGGCACAACTGATTCACGAATCACTTTCCACGTACAAAAAGGAGTATCCCTAGTCAGAAATAGGACTATCATCTACTAAACAAATCTTGTCCAGCTACTTTTCACAAATCTTGATAAAATCCCAGTTCTTCATGCAATTTTTGCTTCACCATTCTCATTGGTTCAATCCCCAACCAATTGCCGCTGAAAAATCCCATGGCGCCTAAAATTGGATCAAATCAGCAAATTTTGGTGAAATATCCATTAAATATCCATTAAATATCCATTCATGGAAATTTTCCACCACGAAATCTCCACCGTCGTCGAGTTGTCACCTCTGCCCTCTGTTGCTCCAGTAGGGTCAGCGTTGTTTCTGCCTCGCGCTCGGCGCGTTTTTTGGCGGACTCTGGGGATCGAAAATCCATGGGGATTCCATGGGAAGTCAAGGAGAAATCCGCAAGAAATGGAGATATTATATAGGGGAAAATCATGGAAAATCATGGAAAATCATGGAAAATCAATGAATGGTGGTGATTTAAAAAAGTTTGCGGTCGGAAATGTTGCCCATTTGTGGATGATTTACTGTTCTTAAACATGGTGATGTTTCATGGTTTTATGATGTTTTATGTGTATATATGTAAGTTTATGTAAGTACACATAATCAACAAAACCGAGAAACAAATAAACAGTAGGGAGATAAACTTCAGAAACTCAACTGGTTGGTAGCTGAGCCAGCACCTGATAAATATGCTCATCAATTGAAATAATAATCCTAATGTGCTTGATCTTCGAAATATTTCAAACCACCAAGCAGTTGTATAACCATGTACAGTGTGGACATAGGAAACGGCATTCAGAATTCAACCATCAAACACCGGGGATTAATCCGGGAAAAAATCTCGGTGGGCACAACATGTTCCACCATTTGTTACCACAAACTGACCTATTAAGCTACATGACTATAGTGTACCCAGGTTCACAGTTGAGATTCCAATCTGGCCCCCAATGGATTACATCAATCTGTGGGGTGTTTGTCTCGCCATTTAAAACAGGAAGCAGCACCAGGAGCGGATTGTATTATAACCATTTTGAAAAAGGAGTGTCCAGACTACCACTTTGGTGGACTGCAGTCGTGGAAAGATGTGTCCTGAGCTGCAAATGGCACCATCCCTGACGAAAAACATGTGAGCTAGCAACAAGTTTACCTACACAATGGATTCCTTGTAATTATACAAGGATTGCTGCAATTCCTCGAACTGGACGTTCATCCCCATCCATCCCCTCTCGATTGACAACATCCATTGCATTGTCAGTTGCTCATCTGATCATCTGATCAGTGGTCGTGGGGATCATGATCCCAAAATTCTCTAAAATAAGGCTTGAGGCTTAAGATCGCTTGAGGACAAATCATTAAATCCAACCAACCAGTCACAATCCCATACTGTGTGTCTTTCATGGCCCTCATGCCTTTTTACCGAAATTACTGCTGTGCTCCGCCTCGCGACGATGTTGGAAATGCATTCGTGCCTGTCACGGAGCTGACCCCCCACCTTGTTGATGGATTGAAAAATCTGAGTCATTGGATATCATCGTCCTGTTTCTATGGTTCAAAATGTTATCATCGCCCATCATTGAAACCACCAAGCAGTCAAACTTACTGGTCATGGCGAAATGGGGTGCCAATGGGCCCACATGGTTTTTAATGGTGGTCCAATCCAACTGGTACCACCGTGCTCCAGGATCACTTGGGTGGTCCGGATGAAAACAAAAATACCTGGATCAATGGTTGTATCATCCGATTATTATCCACATTGACCACCACTACACGTTCATGTTTGCATACTCTGTGCGTTTGGAGTGTGCTCATTGCATATATACACATTTAAATACATGTATATACCTTCTGCAATACATTTACCCTCTGGTTATTTAACATAGCCATGGAAAATCACCATTTTATAGCTAGGTAAACCATCTATTTCTATGGGCCATCTATACCATCGCTATGTTAAATAACCAGAGGGTAAATACATCATACCCATAGATTTAACTTCATGTAAAGATTCCTCTCTGTGTCTGTGGGTCAATCCCCAACTCAAGAGAATCGTTCCTGCCTTCTCCTGGGCAAGCTCCAAGTCCTGCGGCCACTCGTTCCACAAAAAACATCAGCCATCCCAACCTCAGGAGCTTTCTGTCCTAAGATCTGATTAGCACTGATTCTATAGATGTAGAGTGATGTAATTCTTTGTATACAGTCTTTCTGATGCTTTGTGCGTTTGCAAATGAATCGCAGAATGTCGAACATTATAAATCTAGTGATTCCGCGCCCTGTAAACCGCCCTTTTTTGGCCCCACATGGCCTCGGTTTGGGTGTTACATGGTTGCCAGCCAATTCCCAAGCGGGGCTGAAGAATCCCAAGTCTGTTCGTTTCTGAATACCGGCATGTTGATAGGTTTCCACTCTCACTTTCTGAGTGAATCAATCTCTATGGTTTTCAAGTTCCTATTTCTATGGTGAAGTTCATTGGCTAAATCCCCATGTCTGTTCCTAAAATCCCAATATTTGCTGGTGATTTGGCATCATTTTTGCTGGTCATTCTTCACCATTTCTGCTGCTTAAATCATCATCTTAGTTGGTTATGGGTGTGTTCAAAACCAAATCCCATGGCATGTCATCGTTTTCCTGTCAAATGACCATTGAAATCCATCATATCCCATGGCTTCCCATCATTCTTCCTCATAAAAATCACAATTTTCATAGATTTTATCAATTGCCATTTCAGGTACCTAACCTAAAGATATACTGTACCCTACAAAGCCATAGGGGCTATCATAGCTCTTACATAGACCTAGACTATATATATATATATATGTATATTGATGTATATATATATATATATATTGATAATATATCCCGCCGGGGTGGACGTTCGCCCAAAGTCTCATTGGCGTTTACTTACGTTGTGGTTTGTTTCGGATTTATTAAAGATTGTTTTATGGTTTACTTAGGTTTGGTTTATTGGATTTTATTTAGGGTTTATTTACGGCTTGTTTACTTAAGTGTCGTGCTATGTATTGTTGTTTTTGGATTTTATTTAAGGTTCCTTTAAGGTCTTTTTAGGTTATTTATGGTTGATTTAGGTTTGGTTTAGGGTTTGTTTAGGGTTTATTTAGTGTTAGGTTATTTTGGTGTTCTTTCAAAGTCTTGTGGTTTGTTGATGTTTTAGTTAACAGCTCGAAACATTGCAAATTACGGAGGATATCCTTTAGACATGCTTCAAACGGTGATTTTGGCACCATCTTAGGTAAGCGCAAGAATGCCATGAGACGCAGGAAATATCAATATTTTGTATGTTCGCAGTTTGCAAAAAACACACAGCCAAAGAACACAGCAGATTACAGTCCTGCATGGAATTCCGTGGATTTCGGGCAAACGTCAGCCTCCTAGCGATACATACATATATATATATATATCGATATCTTATATATCTCGCTATATATATATATAGCGAGATATATAAGATATCGATATATATATATATATATGTTATGCCAGGTATATCCCATGTTCAGCCACAGCCTTTGCGACTCGTTGCTCCTTGCTCAGCTCCGTGTAGCGTTCTTTCAGCTGCTCAGAGCCTGGAAGCAACAGAAATGGTGATGTCACCATGAACAAATGGTGATTTTACCATAGAAAATTGTGATTTTTAGCATGGAAAATTGCCATTTTACCATAGAAAATTGTGATTTCACCAGGTGACTTAACCAACAAAAATGGTGATTCAACATGTGGAAAACTACGGAAAAGGGTGACTTTGCCAACAAAACTCATGATTTAAATAAAGATATTGTTTAAAGCCACAAAAAACTTACATCTCGGCCAACAAGATGTGGGATCTCGAGAAATTCGACCAAACTTTGGACTTTACCAACTGTTTTCCCCAACATTGAGATTTACAGTACCGGTAGATCACTTTTGACAATATCGATCAACAATCGGGATTCTCCTGAAAGTGGCTGCCAGAAATTTTCAGATGCAGCTGACCACATGTCGGATTTTCTGACCACATGATCAACAGCTTTTAAAAAAAAATGCATCCCCACGACTCAGCAATGATTGGTTACTCGCGTCTCACTACCAGGCCAAATCACATCAGTACTGGAGATTACAAGAAAAACATGTGTTCGCTTAAATCATCTTAAATCTTATGTTTGATGGTCAAAAGCTCAGTCACTTGAAGACACTACCAAATATATAAAATCCGCCCGCACCGAAGGTGCTGGGGCGTGATCTTCCGGATGGCACTCGTAAAAGGTTACAGGTTTACCTGGGGGGGGGGGGGCATTTTTCGGCCAAAACCTCCTGTTTTTGATAGGTCGTGACGCTCGCCTTCAAAAAACACTGTAAAAAACAGTACGGAAGACACCTGTTCGTGAACGCGCCCGTCCAAAATCGGCAAGCGAAAAGTGAAAAAACCCCGTGTTTTTCAACTTTTTGACTTCAATTTTTTGGTTTGCAACATCTTTTTTTGCGGTTCCGCAGGTGGCCTGGCCCGGAGGCGGATTTTTGAGTTTTTGGACCCGTTTTCGGACTGATTTTCGTCGTTTTGTGATAGCAGAAACACTGGTTTTTACAGTGTTTTTCTGTTTTCTGCATGCTTGACGGCTAGCTTCAAAACTTCCAAAAACCTCGTAAATTACGCTGTTTTATGTTACGGTGTGAATGAAAACATCGTAAATACCAGTGTTTTTTGACGTTGGTTAAAAAAACACTGTAAATTACAGTGTTTTTGGCCACCTGACCCTCAAAAACCATGGTATTTGCAGTGGTTTCTGCTTCTCACCGCGCAAAAACACTGTAAATAACAGCAATTTCGCCGTTTTTTCATGTTTTTAGTTATTTTTTGAACTGCGTTGGTCCGCTATACATGGCTATCAAATTCTTCGCGTTTTTTTTTTCCGACAATCAGTACTTTCGGATGTTTTTGGTCTCAATGCCCCTGCCGTGTGAGCCCAACGATGCGGTGCGGGCGGTTGCCGTCGCGAAGCGACGTGAATATACCTACTTGTATATGCAAATAAAATACGATGGGAATCCAATTAGATGTCAAAATCTACATCTACATTGGTAGAAAAATTGCCAATTAGGTAGCTGGCTAAATAGTTCGATCGCTAGGTAAGAAGAACAAACACCTACGTACATACCACTCAATTGAGGCCATGATGTACTTTGGCTTCTCCCCCAGCGCAAGATTCCACTCAGCACCAGATATCATCACATGTTTTTCCCCTGTCAACCTTCACTATCCACTGGCACAGTAGGTGGGGATTGATTGTATAACCCAATATGGTGCCCCGTTACACAGCTATGTATACATATATATATATATATGTTCAGCGCCCTTGAATGGACCTACCATTTGAGGGCAGTGACCATATATATGGTCCCGTCCTCCGTCTCTCCACCCCCCCCCTCCCCCCCCCATGGGTTGGGTCCCCAGGTAGCAGCCCCAATTCCCTTCTATTTGCAAGCTATTGGCAGCATTTCTGAGGTCCAGCTTCGTATTTGCTAGGTCTTTGCAGCATTTCTGACTACCAGCCTCGCATTTACTAGGTACATGCTACCTTTTAGGCGACCTACGTAGCACACATACTCCTTCAAAGTACCTACGTGCTACCTATAGTCATATATACATGTGCTATGCATCTACTGTATCTACTTCCTACTTACTACCTGTGTACTCTGACAACACTACCTGTGTTTAACATATACCGTACCTACCATACATGTCAATGATGCCATGCATACCATACCTATCATATCTATCATACATACCATACATACCATACATACCATACATACCATACATACCATACACATGAAATGTAATTACCACACCTACCATACATACAATAGCAAACATACGTGCCGTACATACCATACCTACCTTACATAGGAAATATTCCATACCCATCATAGTAACAATATATACCATACAGACCATACATACTGTCATATCAAACATACCATACCCAACAGACTTACATACCATACCTACCATCCATACAATACCAACCACTCATGCCATACATACCATACCTACCATACATACCAAACATACCATACTTTCCAAACATGCCATACCAGACCGACCACACACACCATACATACACAACATACCATACCACACCCCCACCACACCACAGGGGGGGGAGGGGGACAGTACCACACACCCACCACGCCACAGGGGGGGAGGGGGACAGTGCTGGATCCCCAGGTAGCACCCCCCTTCCCTTCTATTTGCAAGCTATTGGCAGCATTTCTGAGGTCCAGCTTCGTATTTGCTAGGTCTTTGCATCATTTCTGACTACCAGCCGCGCATTTACTAGGTACATGCTACCTTTTAGGCGACCTGCGTAGCACACATACTCCTTCAAAGTATCTACGTGCTACCTATAGTCATATATACATGTGCTATGCATCTACTGTATCTACTTCCTACTTACTACCTGTGTACTCTGACAACACTACCTGTGTTTAACATATACCGTACCTACCATACATGTCAATGATGCCATGCATACCATACCTATCATATCTATCATACATACCATACATACCATGCATACCATACATACCATACATATGAAATGTAATTACCACACCCCTACCATACATACAATAGCAAACATACATGCCATACATACCATACCTACCTACATAAGAAATATCCCATACCCATAATAGTAATCATACATACCATACAGACCATACATACTGTCATATCAAACATACCATACCCAACAGACTTACATACCATACCTACCATCCATACAATACCAACCACTCATGCCATACATACCATACCTACCATACATACCAAACATACCATACTTTCCAAACATGCCATACCAGACCGACCATACACACCATACATACCCAACATACCATACCACACCCCCACCACACCACGGGGGGGGAGGGGGACAGTGCCACACCCCCACCACACCACAGGGGGGGGAGGGGGAAGATCTCATATGGGGCCAGTATATGGGACCCATCCCATGTGGGGGGGGAGGGGGGGGGTGGCAGGGCCTGGTGCATATATATATATACATACATATGTAGAGTAGATCTATCCATGATCTTTCCATGATCTATGCATGATATTGTTGACGTGTATCACCTGTAAACTGTAGATGATTATATGGGTATGGGGATGTTGATGGCTAGGATCTGCATGTGATTTATGTGCGTATTCTTCTTACATGATATTGCTTATCATGTATATACAATATATTGTATATGGGTTGGTCATAGGCGATCCCCAACTCCATTGGATGATCATCAAAAATAATCATTATCATCATGCGAATCTCATATAAAATAATGTCGATTATCATCATATTGTATCCCAATTGTCTCACTGGTGCTTAGTAAGGCATGGGGGAATGGGATGATGGTGAATAGTCATTATAGATCATTCCCCCATTCCCTACTAAGCATCAGTAAGTCGTTTATATAATATATCAATATAATTTATATCATATTCCCATTACACTATATCATTCATCTTATATAAAAATGAAAAGTATAATAGTCATGATACCTTTATGTTCTATCATTCACCATGTATATATATATATGTGTGTATATATACAATGTTATACCATATATATTATACCATATATTTATCATACCATATATCATACCATTTATATTCATCAATATCATTTATATTATATCATTCACCATGTATATATATATATATGTATATATATATATATGTTCATAATCATACACTGTATATGTTTTGTATATATATATATATACATTAATATATGATCCATGGTGTTCCCTATGAAAATGTCGCGTTGACACACCACGGTTGTCGCCCGAAAAACTCTGGTTCCCTGGCCGCTAATGGTCTCCAGCATGGCCGTGAGCTCGGATCCCTGGCGCCTATTTCAAATGGCGGGTTTCAGCTGCTGGAAAGCTGGGAAAGCTATGTTAATGGGAATTTTAATGGGAATTTAATGGGAATCTAACCATTTTAATGGGAAATACCATTAGTTTAATGGAATTTTAATGGGATATACTGAGATCTACCCTCTGGTTATTTAACATAGCCATGGTATAGATGGTCCATTTATAGATGGTCTACCTAGCTATAAAATGGTGATTTTCCCATGGCTATGTTAATGGAATGTGGATGATAATCATTATTAATCACTATTGATCATTATTAATCAATCAAGTTGGATGATTATTGATCGGCAAAATGAATCTTACTGGTGCTTAGTAGGGGAATGGGGGTTGCTGGGATCATTATTACTAGTGATTCTGGATCATTCCCGAAAATTCCCTACTATATAAGCATCAGTAAGTAATGGGATGTGGATGATTATTGATCAGCATAATGGGAGTTCCAGTACTATCAGGCAAATCATCCAACTGAGGATGACCCGACAAAAATGTGGAAAGCCACAAACATGTGGGTTGAACCGGCAAACAAATGAGTTGAGCAACCATATTTGGACCATCAAACATCTGGATTTCCACAATGAAATTCCAATCCTACCAGGAAGAGTGAAGAGTTCATGGTTGATGAGGATTTTCCGCGCTCAAAGTGCCAGAAATTGGGGGCCACGGCTGGAGACAAACCCAAATGGTTTGTGTAGTCGATTGGTGAGTATGTATATTATACATATATATATATATATATACAGATATACATCCGTTAGATTGTTCATGTACATCCTCAAATGATTATATATATATATATATGCTCATGCAGCATAATTACCCATTCTATACCCACTATACACCAACTGGCCACTGTAGTCGTTAAGCTGTTAAACTGCTAAACCATCCCCCAAATTGCATTGAACATGTAAGTTCATCCCACCATATAATGGCTATATATATATATATAACGAATATAATGGGTGTATAATGGGTGTATAATGGCTTTATAATGGGTTTATAACGGCTTATAACAGGTTTATAATAGCTTTATAACGGCTTTATAATGGGTTTATAATGGCTTATAACGGGTTTATAATGGGTTTATATCTGCTTATAATGGCTTTATAATGGGTTTATATATATATACATTAGCTGATACCTATATATATATATATCTACATAATGGCATATGTATATATATATATATGTATATATATATATATGTGATGGCTTTATAATTATAATGGATTTACAATGGGTTTACCATACATTGAACCTATCCACCATGGAATTCCACTGTCCCGTTGGGAACTCGTCGCACCTCGCGAGCTGCATCACGTCGCCCTGGAAGACCAAGAAACTCCTGGCCTCGACGCGGCTGGAGGCCAGCGGGCAACACTGGGACAATCTCAGAAATTTATGAATAACAATAATAATAGATTACCCATGGTTATTATTATTATGAATAAGTTATTGTATAGATTACTCATTCTGTAGATCATTATTTCTGTAAGTTTATAAGAATCTCAATGATTATATATCCATTACTGTAATGATAACAATAAAGATTGCGTTGCCCATAGGCGATTACCCAGAGTTGATTAATGAATAATACGATGAATGATAGAATTAATGTGTATAATAGCTCACCCCGCCATAACCTACCTGGTTCTTCTATGAAAAAAAGTTGTTCATTGCATTTCATTGCAATGTCAACCATCTGCCATCTGCCACACACAACAAAAAGAACCAAAGAAAACAAGAAAAAATGTTTTAGGAGACTTGTTCTGGGATGGGGGGAGGGGGTACCAAAAAAAACACAAAAAAAAGTGAGAAAAAAACAAAGTACGGCTCCTTAAACTTTGCTTTTTGCTTATTTGTTTTTGTTTGTTTTGGTTTCGATCCTATGCTAGCACTTCAGTCATAACAATGCAGCAAGTAATGGAACAATGCAACAGTTCCTTCTGAAAAGACATAGTTCAGTCCTAAATTCCGGTCTTCCTTTAAGACAATACAATGCCTGTGTCCAGAAGCTGTATCCCCTCATGCTTAGAACTCCTAAAGCTTGGTATGCTTGAAGACGTGTAAGAGTGTAATCGTTCTTTAGCATATCCAGCATTCTCAAAATGGAACAGCATTCCTGTGTGGGCAAATATTCCTAAATCATATGCGATGTAGTTTTGACACTCTGAATTCCTGTCACAAAGTGTATTTTGCAATACGACACACACACACATCATTCCTTCAAAAAGGCCGGTTTTCCTTTAAAGAATATGCTTACAAATTGCAATCTTGCTTTACCCACTATTTAGTAGAATACGTCGGCAGAAAATCCAAGATTGCAGTGGAGAAGTTCAGGTTTATCCTTTCCTTTGTGTGGTAAAAATTATTTACAGGTATGAGACTTGTTTTTTTGAAGTCTGGGAAGACACTATTCTAGTGTTTGACATGTGGTTGTGTTACAGTACTACATTCCCTTGAAGAAATGAGTGTTGAAAAACACAACCCTAATTCAGCTACAAAGGCTACTTTAGTTCGAAAGGGAAGGCAACTCCCCTGATTTGTTGAACAGGTGATTGGCATGTTCAGTAAAATGGTTACCTTTGATACAATGCAGTCAATGCATTCTGCGCTGAAACAGCAACAAGTTCACCAAAAACAACCTAATGCTAATGTGTTGTCTGGTGCAATCTGTCACCGTTGAAGTTATACTCTAGTTATATAATAATGGAAGTACATAGAATGTTGAATGAACAAGACTTACAGTTTCAGCTAAGCAGCACAGCAGTTGATCAAAGAAAATGCAACATGTTGAGCTGAAGGCAAAATTGGAGACAAAGTAAGTGTTGTTCACTGCACTCAATGTCGAAAGAGAAATATGTAACCTGCTGAGTCTTGTACCTGTACTATGCTCCCAGCAAACAATGCCTTGAAGGAATGAGATTCTTCAAAGGAGTGTAGCCTTCCATGCAAATATGTAACATTCCTTTCACCCAAAAGAGTAGTTGTAATTTATAAACTTGTGATTGCCTTTAAGAAAAGTGCAAGATTTCTTTCCAGGGAGAAGTCTCCTTGTGAAGGGTGGTATCCTTTTTGAAAAAGATATTAGTCCTCTACAATGTGTGTTACGTTCTAAAGTGCAACATTCCTGTCTTCTTTATCAAGGTAATACTCCCTCAGAAAAATATGTTTTCTTCGAAAATTCAATACCTAACCCCATGGTTGCACTCTTGTTTAAACAACAGAAACAATATTGTTGCAGAAAATGGAATGTTTCCTTTGGTAACTTTGAACTGCGGCACTTACTTGGGTGTCTGTGTATCATATAACGCAAAAAAAAAAACTGCAAAACAAAATCGGATGCTTTTTACTATAAATACCACAAAAATATGCTCAAGGTAGGTCCTGGTGGCGGGGTGACCATATATATATATATATAAACGTAAGTATATATATATGTGTGTGTGTGTATGTGTATGTGTGTACATACATACATAGCTATTGGATATTGGATACTGTTGGAATATTGCCTATACTGTAGATTATATATATATATACATATTATATGTATAGAATATATGGCAACACCCGATTACCGATGCCGGTTTCAATGCTCAAGCACCGAAAGTTGATCGGCTCATGCGACCCTGGAAAAGCAACGCTCTTTTGCTTGGAAATCTGAATTTGCGGCTAATCTAGAATATGAGTATCAAACATTGTCAAACAACCTATACCCAGTACTAAGCAACAGAGACCCTGCGCCTGCAACCTATATAAAAAGCACTCAAGCTTTGAAGACTCGATGGCAAGGTCACCCGCTCCAGGCTTTGATTGAAATTCTGGCCAAAAACCAAGCTTTGAAGGCTCGATGGCAAGGTCACCCGCTCCAGGCTTTGGTTGAAATTCTGGCCAAAACTCAAGCTTTGAAGGCTCGATGGCAAGGTCACCCGCTCTAGGCTTTGGTTGAAATCATAGCTAAAACTCAAGCTTTCAAGACTTGATGGCAAGGTCACCCGCTCCAGGCTTTGATTGAAATCAAAGCCAAAACTCAAGCTTTGAAGACTCGATGGCAAGGTCACCCGCTCCAGGCTTTGGTTGAAATTCTGGCCAAAACTCAAGCTTCGAAGACGTGGCGGCAAAGTCACCCGCTCCAGGCTTTGGTTGAAATGAAAGCCAAAACTCAAGCTTTGAAGACTGGATGGCAAGATCACCTGCTCCAGGCTTTGATTGAAATCAAAGCCAAAACTCAAGCTTTGAAGACACGATGGCAAGGTCACCCGCTCCAGGCTTTGGTTGAAACAAGTGCCGAAACTCAAGCTTTGAAGGCTCGATGGCAAGGTCACCCGCTCCAGGCTTTGGTCGAATAGATCACCAAAACTCAAGCTTTGAAGACTCGATGGCAAGGTCACCCGCTCCAGGCTTTGGTTGAATTTCTCGCCAAAACTCAAACTTTGAAGGCTCGATGGCAAGATCACCCGCTCCAGGCTTTGGTCGAATAGATCACCAAAACTCAAGCTTTGAAGACTCGATGGCAAGGTCACCCGCTCCAGGCTTTGGTTGAATTTCTTGCCAAAACTCAAGCTTCGAAGACGTGGCGGCAAAGTCACCCGCTCCAGGCTTTGGTTGAAATGAAAGCCAAAACTCAAGCTTTGAAGACTGGATGGCAAGATCACCTGCTCCAGGCTTTGATTGAAATCAAAGCCAAAACTCAAGCTTTGAAGACACGATGGCAAGGTCACCCGCTCCAGGCTTTGGTTGAACCAATCGCCGAAACTCAAGCTTTGAAGGCTCGATGGCAAGGTCACCCGCTCCAGGCTTTGGTCGAATAGATCACCAAAACTCAAGCTTTGGAGACTCGATGGCAAGGTCACCTTCTCTAGGTTTTGCTTGAATCCATCACCAAAACTCAAGCTTTGAAGACTTGATGGAAATGTCACCTGCTCCAGGCTTTGGTTGAAAGCCCGGCCAAAACTCAAGCTTTGAAGACTCGATGGCAAGGTCACCCGCTCCAGGCTTTGGTTGAAATTCTGGCCAAAACTCAAGCTTTGAAGGCTCGATGGCAAGGTCACCCGCTCCAGGCTTTGGTTGAAATTCTGGCCAAAACTCAAGCTTTGAAGGCTCGATGGCAAGGTCACCCGCTCCAGGCTTTGGTCGAATAGATCACCAAAACTCAAGCTTTGAAGACTCGATGGCAAGGTCACCCGCTCCAGGCTTTGGTTGAACCAAGTGCCGAAACTCAAGCTTTGAAGGCTCGATGGCAAGGTCACCCGCTCTAGGCTTTGGTTGAATTTCTGTCCAAAAACCAAGCTTTGAATGCCAGATGGCAAGGTCACCCGCTCCAGGCTTTGGTTGAATTTCTGGCCAAAACTCAAGCTTTGAAGACTCAATGGCAATGTCACCTGCTCTAGGCTTTGGTGGAAGTAATTGGAGAAAGTCAATCTGGCAAGGCTTTGGGGCAAATGATGTAAATACTCTCCACTCATTGCTCCGTCAATCTTTGTTACACCTTCTAGCACAAATTCTCTCTCGCAAGTCGGGAGCCCACAGACATAACACCAAGCAGTGTACACATTTGTTGGTGTGTAAGTGCAGGACAGCATTGCCGATTTTCCAACAATCCCTTGCTCTCCCAAGGTTTGATCCAGCGTCAGCTTTGCATTCACACAATGCACGGCGAGCTTTGCGCCTGGCTTGCGTGGAAGCTTCTCCGACAGCAACCTCCGAAGGTCATACCCGAGCATACAGCGAGAGGCACTTAATGTCACTCCTTCTCCAGTCAAGCACAACACCTCAACGTCGACCTTGTCAGTTTCATCTGCTGCACCTTCGTCAGTAGATGCTGGATCCACATAACCATGTTGGTCACCCGACATTGGTAAACAATTGCACACTTCTTACTACTGGGGCCGAAAGATCTTCACAAGAACAAAAACAAGCAACCCGCACAACCGATAAATCTACCTCAGAATCTACTGCAACAAGCAACCCAAAGATTGCCATCTCCAATTCTATTCCAGCGCCATTTTTTGGGCTTGGCAGCTGCCTGATGGGGTGCGATCCATTCATGCCCTGGTCCCCCAAAACCCAACGTTTTTGAAAAGCATTTTTCCTATCAAACGGTTTAGAAAATCATGTTTCCTATTAAAATAGCTAGACATAAGATTGGCTATATCATGCTGTATCGCATTTGCATGCATGTTGGGCAAACTTAGTCTATATTCAGTGCATATATATATACCGTATATATACATATATATATATATACATATGTATATTCAGATGGGTGTTTCGTGTAATTGGGGATCCCCAAAATCATGGGGTTCAGTACCATTTTGGTCTAAGTTTGGATGATTGGGGTAATTTCATTCTAGGAAATGTCATATTCATGAATAACAGTAGCAACAACAAAAAAGCACCAATTATCAGCAAGAAATCATTTTGTAACTGTGGTCGACTGTGGTATGTTTCAATGACATCGATATTCCGCACAGGCATCCAAGAACGGACAGTCCATTAAAAATTGGAGATGTTTTAACCAAAAGCAAGGTATGAAAACAAAATAGCACAGGTAAATCAGGTCATGAAAACTTCAAAATCAAAAAATTGACAGAGGCAACGTGCTTACCCATCGCCCGTGATCTGAGGATCTGAACTCTCACGAAGATGTTTTCGGATGCTAAGAGCTGGGAATATTCCTCGTAGCCTAAAGGCCAATCTTCGAAAGCCGTGGTCGATCCCAGAAACCCCATATGTCAGAAAGCCTCGACATTTTAGTAGCCAGAAACAGATTGAAACCCATGGGACCCATGGATTTTTGTTCCGGTCTCAGAACGCTTCACGGCCCAAAACAGGCAGATGGTTTAAGGGACCAAATCTTCGGCCAGATAACTTCCAATATATCTAAGTCTATGAAACACTCAAGTACAGGCACTGATGGGTTTTGGCAATCAAAAAAACCGTTCCATAGTGTGAATATCATATCTATCTGGGTGGACACTATGGTGCTGATATCCCCTCCAAAGGCCGGCAACTGCCACTCTGAGGTACCAGGGAAGGAAAGTTGCTGTCTAGTGGGATTATGATGACTACAAGCTGCATCCAAATGGGAATTTATGTAAAGGGTGATTTGACATGATTTTACGGTTATAATACTGGGGTAATGATGGCACAATAATGAAATGATCGTGGGACGATGGTATAGCAACCACCACTAGAAGATAGAAGTTGGTAAAATCCGACTAAAATAATGGTACATTCATTGAACCTTTTCTGTCTTTTTGGGGATTTACATGGTACATCTGAATATTCCCCAGTTCTGAGCAAACATGAATTATGAACATATATATATATATATGTTCATACATATATATATATATATAACTATATATATAACTATATATGTATATAACTATATATATAATCACATATATATATACATAACTATATATATATATGTATATATATATATATTCACCAACCATTCACCTGCCATTCCTGTTAGGAAGTCCCCATCCGCATCCGCTTTTTGAGGCTCCCTGGCCGATGGCGGCCATCTTCGTCTGAGCTGATGGGGATCTTGGGGCCGGGATACCCCCCACTCATGGTGACTCACCAGGAAAAAATGTAGCTATCCTTTGGTTCTTATATGGTTCTTATATGGTTATTATATGGTTATCCTATGGTTATTATATGGCTCTTATATGGTTATTATACTAACCAATATGAAAATACCCGCCCCTGGGCTAAAATGAAAGTGTCCTATCAGAGAATCCCGTTTTCTCTCATGACCATCCTCGTTTATAACCAATGTATCTCTGACATCAGCAATTTACAAATAAAATGTTCGGATTCTTGGGCATGACGTCCAAAACACTGCGGTCATCTGGATACACAAACCATCAAACAAATAGGTCTTCAACCCCCAAGATTAGCAATTCCATGCAATCCTAAAACTTGGAGAGTCAACAAAAACTTGCTGAAAAGTTTTAGGTGCTTCCCAGCGCTAAGAAAACATATTACCCCATGTGTTCATTAACCAATATGATTGGTATATCTCCACCACCGATCTCTGGGGCTCCAACGGTAGAGGTGCCATAGCGATAGTTGGCCTCGCCTCGAGTGTTGATGATGCGACCTGTTGGCGCTGGGTGTTGGGGTTCCATGTGAGAATGGCTGGAAAATATGACTTAACTCTTTTTAACTAAAAATGATACACCAACTATAAAATATCAAACTAAAAATGGATTTAAGCAATGTAATTGATTGTTATAGATTGGATTAGATTGGTTAATCATCCACAATGTGTGGATACATAGATATGTATATATATATATATATACATATACGTGTATAGTTCTACATGTTGTTTCTTGGGTTATTGGTTGGTCATCCATAACAATTTGTTGGAACATATACTTGCAAAACTTGCTGGCAAGAATTGAGGCAGACGAGGAATGACCATGAAGAAACCAGGGATTTGAGTCACACAAAATGTGTAAGTCTGTGGCTATGTCTGTGTATATGTGTATCTGAGTGCAAATGTATATATGCAAATAGTGTATACATATCTGTATGATGCGTGTGTATGTGCATGTGCATGTGCATGTATTGATGTAATATAAATTACCCATGTATATAATATATATATATGATAATCTACAATGTAGATTTAATCCAATGTAGAATCGTGTAGGTTTTTATCAATCGATCTATGTCTCTGTAGGCAATGCCGTGAGACACCCTGAGGCTTCCAGGCTGAAGTATCGCATGATCCCCTTGGCCGATTTGAAGACCAAGGTGACCTGGCGGAGCTGGGAATCCAAGGCTCCCACTGGAGATGGAGATGTCTGCTATCCTATAGCTATCCCTGGATTATTGTATCGTTGTTATATGGTTATCCTATGGTTATTCGAAGGAAGTTTAGAAGTCAAACTTCCGACAATATGGACAGATGAAAAGCAGAGCAGGGAAGAGGCAGAGAGAAGAGAAAGATTAGAAGAAAGAAGAGTAGAAGAGAAAGAGTAAGAAGAACGAAGATGGAGATACGCGAAAAGGTAGGAAAGTCGCGAAACACTGTGTTTTTCCAATGATTTGGGGCTCCGGAGGGTCGAAAAGTAGGCTCGCTAAAGCGGCGGGTGCGGAGCCAGCTGGCCACAGGAGCGATGAAACATTGCACGCCGTTGTGGCGCGAAGCACATTTCGAAGTCAAAAGTGCTAAAAACTGGCGGTCTCGGACCACTTTTGGAAGTTTCGATGTCGAAAAAGTGCAGGCCGTTGTGGCGCGAAGCACATTTCGAAGTCAAAATGTACAAAGCACACCAGGTTCGGACCACTTTTGGAAGTCGAGATGTTGAAAAAGTGTACGCCGTTGTGGCGCGAAGCACATTTCGAAGTCAAAATGTACAAAGCACACCAGGTTCGGACCACTTTTGGAAGTTCAGATGTCGAAAAAGTGCACGCCGTTGTGGCGCGAAGCACATTTCGAAGTCAAAATGTACAAAACACACCATGCTCGGACCACTTTTGGAGGTTCAGATGTCGAAAAAGTGCACGCCGTTGTGGCGCGAAGCACATTTCCAAGTCAAAATGTCCAAAACACTAGGGGTTCGGACCATTTTTGGAGGTTCAGATGTTGAAAAAGTGTACGCCGTTGTGGCGCGAAGCTCACTTCGAAGTCACACTACATTACAGTACATTACACTCCAGTACGCTCCACTACACTAAATTACGCTACACCACACTACATTACACTGAATGACACTGCAACACAGATAGACACCTAGACAGATAGACAGATGAAAGGGAGAGAGAGATAGACAGGTAGGTAGATAGATAGATAGATAGGTAATTAGATGAAAGAGAGAGAGAGAGAGAGAGGCCAGCTGGGTAGATGAGATAGATAGATAGATAGATGGCTAGACAGATAGACAGACAGGAAGACAGACAGATCGATAGACAGACAGACAGACAGACAGACAGACAGACAGACAGATAGATAGATAGATAGATAGATACATCGATAGATGCATAGATCGATACATGGAGAGATAGATAGATACATAGAGAGATAGATATAGATAGACAGAGAGATAGATAGATCGATAGATAGATAGACAGATAGATAGACACATAGATAGATCGATAGATAGATAGACAGATAGATAGACACATAGATAGGTCGATAGATAGATAGACACATAGATAGATACATAGATAGGTCGATAGATAGATAGACACATAGATAGATACATACATACATACATACATAGATAGATAGATAGATAGATAGACAGGCAGGCACGCAGATAGACACCACTGCACTACATTACACTACCTTCCATTACACTTCACTACATTACACTACACTACACTCCACTACACTACAATTACAACTGCAACTGCGCAACTACACTCCACTACACTACACTACACTGCACTCAATTACACTCAATTACACTCAATTACACTACATTACATTACATTCCACTACACTCCACTACACTACACTACATTACACTACACTACTCCCGCTACACTTCACTACATTACACTACACGACACTCCACAACACTACAACTACACCTACACAACTACACTCCACTACACTCCACTACACTCCACTACACTCCACTACACTACATCCCACTACACTACACTACACTACACTACAACTACCCAACTACATTCCACCACACTCCACTGCACTAAATTACACTACACTACAGTGCATGACACTACACTACACTCCACTACACTACTTTACACTACACTAGTACACTACACTACCTTCCACTACACTTCACTACATTACACTACACTACACTCAACTACACTACAACTACAACTACAACTACACTCCACTAAACTCCACTACACTAATTTACACTACGCTAAATTACACTACACTACACTACACTACATTACACTGCACTACATTACATTCCACTACACTCCACTACACTACAGTACACTACACTGCATTAGACTGGATGACACTGCACCATAGATAGACAGGTAGACAGATAGACAGATAGACAGATGAAAGAGAGAGAAAGAGAGATAGATAGATAGATCGATAGCTGGATAGATACATAGAAAATAGATAGGTAGGTAGGTAGATAGGCAGAGAAAGAGAGAGAAAGAGTGAGAGAGATCAAGCACCTTTCGGTCCATCAGTGGATTCGCTCTGCCATCCCTGATTCACAACAACCAACCTCTCCTATAGGTTTCCTATTTTTGAAACTTCCGCCACCGCCTTGTGCGGTACTACTGGCATATGGTTATTATATGGTTATTATATGGTTATCCTATGGTTAGTATGATGATTTCACTATTCACAAGTGTTGAGGCTATACCTAACCCTGGATGACAAAGTGGGTACGACTTTTTTCGGGTCTGCCTCTTGAAGCCCATAAGGCCCACCCTGCCATTGCTCATCTGACAACGCTTCACCAACAGTATGAGCACAGGAATGTGGGAAATGGTCCCATTGAAAGATGTGATGGCAAGGCTGTAAGCCTAGTCATAAACCAGAGCAATGTTCTACCATGTTCTACCACTTGGGACATTCTATGAATGCTGAAACATCCGAATCGTCAGCGGGTTTTACAGCTCTATCCCCTCGGGTTTTACAATGATCATGTTTAAATCCATACACAAACTTGAGGGGAGAGATAAAAGTCCTCCCTGGATAGGTATACATATATATATACACAATAACCCCCTCATCCACATAAACACATCTGGGAGAGATGGATACTTGGAGGATCATCCCAGTCAGCAACTGGTTAGTGAAGCCGCTGAAGCCATAATGATCCCTTTATTTCCATACGTGTGTCACAATGTGTATATATATATAAATACATTGTAACTGTTAGTAAAGCCATAATTACTCGTTTGTATCCATATAACTATAGAGATATGTTTACATATAATCATGTATAATGTATATATATATATACATATACAAATGGGGGGGGCTGCCCATTTTGGCCTACCTCATGTCCTGGCCTGAATTCGAGCACATCGAGATTTCGCAGGGCTACTCGGGGGGCCCCCAGCAAGAAGCTCACTGGCCTTCTCCTCCTGAACATGACGGAGATGGTTGCACAGCTCCGTGCTTGGCAGCTGACCAGTGAGGCCCCGAAAGCGGCGGCCATAGGGCTCACCAAAGAGGGAGCATGGGCAACAAGCGCCCTCAAGGAATATCCGCCCGCACTGTGCGCAGGCTTAGCGGGCGGTTTTGTGCGGACCCTGCAGCACAGAGCTGTGGACGAGTCCAGGACGGCTGATGAGGCATTTCTGCGGCAGGCTCGTACCATGATTGTTCATGAGTACGGACCATGTGCAGGTCCAGATTATGCAGCGTAGTCGTCATTTTCATTTTTGCCATTTTCACTGCAGACAGAATCCATGCTTGGCCGCAGTTTACACTTCATTGTGCCATGTGGAAAAAAATATATATGGGAGAGCCTACTTAGGTGACTTACCAACCCCGGTTATGGCAGCTATGCAAAGCGGCGTTCAGACGCGCCTCAGCCCCGCGTTGGTTCGCATCGACCGTCTCTTCCTCGCGTCGATAGACCAAATCCTGGCGTGTCCCAATGGTTGGTATGCATAGCAACTGAGGTTATAAGACAAATAAAAAGGTTAACTCAACTGAGACATATGCCAAGTGAGGATACCATAGATATAAAATATTAACCCAACTGAGATTAAGTGAGGGTACAACATTTAAATATATTTACTGAAAGCAGCGTTGTGAGCGCCCACGTTTTGGGCAGTCTCCTTTTGCCACTTTTCTCCATGAATCTACCCATCCAGAAAAAAATATGGCTGCACTTGTCACTTCAACATTGCATCTCCCACAGGCAAACCCCAAGAACAAATTTCCTTACACATTAAACTCCATAACTGAAAACCGAAAAAACCAAAAAAAACAAAAAAAAAAACCAAAGATTCCAGAGAAAGGTTGGGGGGCTCATAGTTGCTGGATCTTTGTTTTTTTTGTTTTTTTTGTTTTTTTTGTTTGTTTTTGTTTTTTTTGTTTTTTTTTGTTTTTTTGGTTTTTTCGGTTTTTGTGTTTCTTGGTGGTTAAGGTTTTTCCAATGTTTTTTGGTTTTGGTCACTTTCAGCCATCTGCATCGTTTTCTACACTTGCCGTTCGATGTCTTCATGCGTTCAAGCTTGCAGGAACCAATCGTTTAACCACTGCAGCTCTGAACATACTGGGTCTGAGGATCAAGACTGTGCATTCCAATTTTGAAATGTTCGGCCATGTCCTAGATAATAACCTTAGTTTTATGCTATACTTTTTGAAAAATGTTGCATAAATTGGTAGCACACTTTGCTGAAGTAATACGACCATCTTCTCAAGCATTATTATATTGCATCATCGATGGAATCTGTTGTAGACTCATGTTACACTTTCTTGGAGGGATGCTACACAGATTTGCCAAGAAACTATTCACTTTTAAAAGTAGATATACATACACACGTATATATATATATTATATATACATACAGTGTGTGCATCTTCAAAGGAAGGCTTTCCTTGATTGACACTGATTTTACACAGCTTGCAGTAATATAACTTTTTTTCGAGCAAATGCTGCACTAGTTTGAAAGAGATATTGTATATAGGTAATTGTGCTACTGCACTCTTTGCATAGGCATGTAGCACTTGTTTACATTGCCATAATTATACTTGAATAAGTTTGCATTTAGATTTATGATTTATAAATACAATGTGTTTTGCATTGCATTGTTTGAAGCCATATTATACTTTATTTACAAAGATAAGATATGTTGCACTCTTTGGAAAGGCATTACTTGCAGAAGGTGGTGCACTACTTGCTTTACAACAAAAAACACATATTTATAAACAGGCTTTTGCATCATCAATGAAATCTACAGTAAGCTCTTGCTACACTTCCTTACAATAATGCTGCACACTTTGCAAACAAGAATCTGCACTTTCAAAGGTAAAACACATGTTTCAATGAATGTGTCAGTAAGATGGTACTCTTTCCAAAATCATGCTGTAGTAATTCAAGAATAGATGCTATCTTGAAAAACAGCATGTTACATTTTCCTACAGGAATGCTATAATTTCTGAAATAATTCAGTACATACATAGGAGGGTTCCCCTTGAAATTGGGAAGTAATGCTACACATCTTTGAAAGAATGCAACAATGTTTGCAAAAGGTTGTGGCATACATGGAGGAGTGGTGTTCTTTATGCAGAGTCATTTTACAAGTGATCTTTGCATGTTTGTTTACCATTATTATTTATAGAGAACATATTGCATAAATTGGTGCCTGTTTAAAATGCACATGCTTTAAATGATACTTATCTTTGAAACAATGCCACACTTTTTGCAAAGGGTTGTTACATTGAGGAATGGTATTCTTTATGCAAAATCATTTTGCAAGTGCAGTTTGCAAATCTATTTTTTTCATTGTTTATAGAGCACATATTGCATAAATTGGTCCCCGTTTAGAATGCACATGCCCAAAAAGACTATTGCATATGTTGAGGGAAACTCCTGTAGAGATGTAGAGTGTATACATTCTTAAAGACTTGGACACACATGTCAGAAAATGCTCAAAACATAGCATTTTTTACGAGATTTGTGGGCGCTGAGAGCGCTGGCCTCTCTATATTTAACCCATGGTTAACTGCCGCCGTTATGCTACTGCTGCATTATTTGAAAAAAATGCCTTTTATCCAATAGAACAATCTTCAAACGCGATACAAACCTCTGAGATAGTAAGGCAGTTGTAAGAGGTTATTATTGGAATATATTTTGGGTATACGATGGGAATATTATGGACATTTATCAACTTTTATGGATTATAAGAGATTAGCAAAGTGATGGATTTGAAATTATTCACTAAACTAGGGACATTCAAGTTCGAATGGGAAAATACAACAGCATCTGGTCATCTGAGTGTCCCAAGAGAGTACAGAAGATCTGGATAATCTTGTGATTCACCAACGTGACAAGTTCTATCATTTGGTGATAGTTACTTCCCCCAATGCGGGCCATCATTCCAATGACGTCGCAGTGAGGTAGCTACAATTTACGAAGCTTAATCAGATTGGAATATTATAATATTATAATATTATAATACTATAATATTATAATATTATAATATTACAATATTATATATTTGTACATATAGATGTACAATATATACATATACATATATATATATGGAATAGAGATGCACCACTACTATTGTTGATCCCATTATTGTTTGTTTCCTATCACTACTAATCCATCAGATCGCATCCATCCTCCCCCAGATGGCAGCGATCGCACCTTCAGCCGCTCGCCACGTAGATGTTTCGTCTTGATACCCAAGCAAAAGCTGATGGCATCCTGTGGATGAGAAGGTGGAAGGTCTACAGACTATCTATCTATCTATCTATCTATCTATATATATCTATTTATCTATCTATCTATCTATCTATTTATCTATCTATCTATTTATCTATCTATCTATCTATCTATCTCTATCTATCTATCTATCTCTATCTATCTATCCATCTATCTATCTATCTACTCTATCTATCTAATCTATCTATCTATCTATCTATCTACCTATCTATCTATCTATCTATCTATCTATCTATCTGTCCATCTATCTATCTGTCTATCTATCTGTCTATCTATCTATTTATCTGTCTATCTATCTGTCCATCTATATATCTGTCTATCTGTCTATCTGTCTATTTATCTATCTGTCTATCTGTCTATCTATCCATCTATCTATCCATCTATCTATCCATCTATCCATCTATACATCTATCCATCTATCCATCTATCTATCTATCTGTCCATCTATCTATCTGTCTATCTATCTATCCATCTATCCATCTATCTATCCATCTATCCATCTATCCATCTATCCATCTATCCATCTATCCATCTATCCATCTATCCATCTATCCATCTATCCATCTATCTATCTGTCTATCGATCTATCTATCTATCTATCTACCTATCTATCATATGCTGAAAGTATAATTTTATATATACGCATTAAAAAAAATATAACGAATATGAAAAAATGATAATAAGAGATAATAGCCATAAATGGAGGGTCCCCCCCCAAAAAAATGCAGCTTTGCAACAATGTGCTCAAACTGAGATTTCGCAAGCAAGAATGGGGAAAATGATGGTACAAATCCGGGATTTCATCAGCCAAATGAAAAATGGGCTCACCAAACAAAAAAAACGATTTACAGTAAGCAGCAAACATGCGGATTCAACCGGGAAAAACATGTGATTTGTGCATAGCTTTTCCAACAAACATGAGGAATACAGGAACGCAAATGTGAAATCTACAAAGAAGACTGATGGTATATCCTCTGGTATTCCAACATGACAATGGACAAGAACCCACTTGACAAAGACCATATACAGATGGGGATATTTTCCACTGTCATCCTTGCTTACCAAAAAGCATCTGAGGATGGCTTGACCAGCTTGAACCGCAAGGGTTTTCTCTTCATCTACGCCGCCAAGAGAAATGCAAAATGTTGAACATAGCTATTCGTCCGATTTTTTGGGGACAAACACACATTTTTGTGTACTGTAGTACAGTAAAGAACTAAGCAATATACATAGATGCTGTCTTGGATAAAAGATCATGCATCCAGAGTTTTGAAACGCGACCATCCCCACGACTCGTCAAGTTGTCACCAGGATTGGTCCCATGTACCGCTTATCATAGGTTCCAAATGGGTCCCAAACCGCAAACCAGCAACATCCGGCAACTATGGTAGTTGAAGGCACCAAATCTCTAGTTTTCATCTCCTTGAAGCAAAAAAACATGTTGAAATCCCATGGGATTTGCCTGAAAATGGGGTACCCCAACATCCAGTACTTCATGATTATCATAAAACATTGCATTTTTGGGGGTATATTCCGCAGTTTCAGACACACTTCTATGTGGCAACAACGAAAGTCATATCATCCAACTTTAGAACATCCAGGGATTCCATCCACAACTCCGGGGGAACGCACCATGATGTTGGATTTGCCAGAGCCATTGGGTCCGATGATTGAGGTGAACTTGTCAAAAGGACCTGCTGCGGCGCCACAAAGAGTTGAAAAAATCCACGAAATTCAGCCTTTCAACCCTTGCATATATAATATTTTATGGGGTTCCATGTTCGTTCTCAGGGGTGTTGTATTTTGATTAGTTTGGACATAGCGAGGGCGCACCATGATTAATTCTCAAAGGTGTAGCCTCAGTACGTATTCCTCCTACGTCAACAGTCAAAGACTCTGTTAGCATCTTCCAGCTTTCAAGCAAGTTTCGGATCCAGTTCCCTTCAAATTGGATTGACAAGAGCTTGATTCATCTAATCCAAGCTCCTCCGAGCTCATTTCTATCCAAGTTGGAGGGTTCCTTGAACCGTCCCCAATCCATCAGCTGAGACCGGCAGGGATGATCGTGGAAGGAAATCAGTGGAAAATCTGTGGAATTGATGAAATATTGCACTGGCATTCTACAAACATCTATAAACTATCTAGAAGTGAATGAGAGCCCTGTGATGCCCTGTGTTTCCGGCATGTTGTCCCTATGTTTTCTTTGGTGAAACCGTATTTCACCATGACAACCTGAGGCAGGGATCATCCGAAATCGGGGGCCTATCTCATGTCTCCCCGCGTAGGACTTGAAGTTGTTGATGACTAACTTCTCGATATGCGGTTGCGCATGCCTCAAAGCAGCCCAGTTTGAGGTTGAGAACCCTCAGCAAGCAGTGAAAACTGAGATGTTCAAATGTAGACTTATAGTCGCGGACAGGTTATAAGCAGATTTTCATCTGCTTATCACACCCCCAAAACCCTCAAAAACGCTCAAATAAGGATCTGCTAGAATGGGGTACCCTTAAATCAGACCTGTAATAAGCAGATTCCCATTATGTGGGAACTGGTGAAATCGGGAATCTGCTTATTACAGCTGCTTGCACAATTCAAATTCGACTAAAGGTAACACGAAATATGGGAATGGTTTGCGTATTTTTGTCCTTGAGAAATATCATGAAAATGCATGACTGCAGAAAAAGACAAGTAGAAATAGAAAGGCAGAGAAGTAGAACAGCAGCGAAGCAGGAAAAAAAAGGAAAAAAAATAGGGAAGCAGAACAGAGAGAAGCAAGAAAAGCAGAGAAGCAGAAAAGCAGGAAAAAAACAAAATAGCGGAAAAGCAGGAAAAGCATACAAGCAGAGAACAAAAGAGCAAACACGCAGAAAAGCAGAGAAGTAGAAAAGCAGAGAAGCAGGAGCAGAAGAAATTCAAGAATCCAAAGAAAATACCTGAACCTGCTCAAAAAAAACCTAAAATCAATAGCCCTCCATAAGAAAGGACTGCGACAAAAGCACAGGCCCAAAATCAAGCCCCAAATCGCACATTTATTTTTGAAAGGCATTCTGAGAGAAATTGCTAGAAAATCACAAAACACCAGCCCGAGGAACCTACAAATGCCTGAAAGCAAGCATTGTTCTCTGCTGCACAAACTGTAATAAGCAGATTTGAAATCTGCTTATTGCAGCTGCTTGAAAGTTGAGACTTCTTTGGGCAACAAACTCAAAATAGCCGGGCCACAGCCCAGAAATTGAATCAGACTAGAATATACCAGAATAATTTGTTTAAACAGTCTCAATCAATCACAGCACAGTATAGAAGGGCTGCCGTTTCTAGGAGCCCAAGGCAGTGTCAAAAGCGTTCGTTTGTAAAGCAGTCTTAAGTCTTAAGGGAGTTTTGGAATGAGAAAGGGTTGTGGCAAAAGGACGGGCCCAAAATCAAGCCCCAAATGTATGTTTAAACGGCATTCCGAGAGAAATTGCCGGAAACAAACACAAAAAAAACAGCCCGAGGAACCTACACATGCCTGAAAGCATGCACTATAGTTGATCTCCACTACACCTTGGCTGTAGTAAGCAGATTTGGAGATCTGCTTCTTACAGCCGCTTGAAAATTGGGACTTCGTTTGGTGGGGCAACAAATTCAAGAAATAGCCGGGCCACAGCCTAGAAACTGAATTAGACTATAATAGAATGGTGTGTTTAATCAGTCCTCATCAATCGTCACAGCACAGTATAGAAGGGCTGCCGTTTCTAGGAGTCCAAGGCAGTGTCAAAAGCGTTCATTTGTAAAGCAGTCTCAAGGGAGTGTTGGAACAAGAAAGGGTTGCGACAAAAGCACGGACCCAAAATCAAGCCGCAAATGTATGTTTGAAAGGCATTCTGAAAAAAAATGCCGGAAAAAAAACACAAAACACCAGTCCCAGGAACCTACAAATGCATGAAAGCATGCACTATAGTTGATCTCCACTACACCTTAAACTACGCTGACTGTAGAAAGCAGATTTGGAAATCTGCTTATTACAGCTGCTTGAAAGTTGGGACTTCCTGGGGCAACAAATTCAAGAAATAGCCGGGCCACAGCCTAGAAACTGAAGCAGACTAGAATATTGTGTTTAACAGCGGAAGGGCTGCCGTTTCTAGGAGTCCAAGGCAGTGTCAAAAGCGTTCGTTTGTAAAGCAGTCTTAAGGGAGTTTTGGAATGAGAAAGGGTTATGACAAAAGGACGGGCCCAAAATCAAGCCCCAAATGTATGTTTAAACGGCATTCCGAGAGAAATTTCCGGAAAAAAACACCAAAAAAACAGCCCGAGGACACCTACAATTGCTTGAAAGCATGCATTATTATAGTTGGTTGATCTGCACTACGCCTTAAACTACCCTGACTGTAGTAAGCAGATGTGGAAATCTGCTTATTACAGTTGCTTGAAAGTTGGGACTTCCTGGGGCACCAAATTCAAGAAATTGCCAGGCAGAAACTGAATCAGACTAGAATATACCAGAATAATTTGTTTAAGCAGTCTCAATCAATCGTCACAGCACAGTATAGAAGGGCTGCCGTTTGTAGGAGTCCAAGACAGTGTCAAAAGCGTTGAATTGTAAAGAAGCTTTGAGGGATAATTGCAACAAGAAAGGGTCACCTGAAAACCAAGAGCCACAAGAAAGGGTCGCTGCAAGACCAAGAGCCACACATTGTTTCTTTACTCTGGGCTGGCAAATTTCTAGGCCCCTTTACATGATACCCACTAGAAAAATATTGTACACTGAATGGAGTAGGTCCACTCAGACTGTAAGAAGCAACTCATTTTCATTATATACGGGGCACCTGATCAATTTGCTCGTGTCGGGGAAATTGCATTTTGGTTTATTGCTGTAGGTTTGTACGCGTATACAGAATCGGAAGTTCGGTCACTGACTGAAAACAACTAAACTCTAGCTCTAGCAGCCTCCTTAGTAACAGGCATGATTGATGCATTCTATCGGTTTTCAGCCTCCTTAGAGTGTCCTTGATTGGTTTGTTTTTTCCTTGGATTTTCTTTTCCTTTGTTTCTCCCTTGGAAACCAAAGGAAAACAAATCAAACCAAAGGAAACCGAAGGAAACCAAAGGAAACCATAGAATCCACCTAGTCCCAAACCAAAGGAAACCGAAGGAAACCAAAGGAAATCAAAGGGAATCAAAGGATACCAAAGGAAAAATGATATAATCTAAGAAAAATTGATTTTAGCTATTTCCTTTGTGTTTGTTTTTCATTGCTTTCCACCCACAATTAAAAACAATAATATTTTGGTGCAACTCATGCGTTGGAAAGGTTGACACTGCTAGCTTTTGGTCCATACCTGGGTGGAAATGTGAAACACCTGTTACAGAAAACACATTTGTACTAATAGGGTAAGAAAAGAAAACAGAAGAAAACACACGAAAACAAGAGGTTTTCAAAGGAAAAGGCAGGATGATCAGAGGAGAACATCGCTATGATAAACTATACCGAAACAATTGAAGACGTGACCCAGTGTCTGGGGACAACAGTAATAAGCAGATTTTCATTTTACACATTTTTAGGGGTAATAAGCAAATAGATTACCGGCGAGTGAGGCAGTTGAGCAATCTGCTTGTCTGCCGGCAGGGGAGGAAATCTGCTTATTACCCGCCCGTGACTATAAATATACATATATATATATATATATGTATACATATATATATAGTTACCATTAGTTACCCCAAACAAACATAGAACGGGAAGTGGTATATATATACACTATGTCTACGTTTATTGTATCATATCTGATTCTATTCTAGATATGTTTATGGTGTCGACGCTGTTAAGGGGCTGTGTGCTGTCTGCATTTTTCTCGGGTTCTTGTCGTCTTTGTGTTTGTTGCCTGAGTTTTTGTGGGTGGGGGGTGGGGTGGGGGGGATGTTAACGTTCATTGCGACTGCTACGTTCTCTGGCACTTCCACACATACGTCAGGCTACGCCAGTGTATCTTCTCTTGCACTTCCACACATACGTCATGCTACGCTAGTGTATCTTCTCTTGCACTTCCACACATACGTCATGCTACGCTAGTGTATCTTCTCTTGCACTTCGACACATACATCATGCTACGCTGGTGTATTTTCTCTTGCACTTCCACACATACGTCATGCTACGCTAGTGTATCTTCTCTTGCACTTCCACACATACGTCATGCTACGCTAGTGTATCTTCTCTTGCACTTCCACACATACGTCATGCTACGCTAGTGTATCTTCTCTTGCACTTCGACACATACATCATGCTACGCTGGTGTATCTTCTCTTGCCCTTCCACACATATGTCATGCTACGCTAGTGTATCTTCTCTTGCACTTCCACACATACGTCACGCTACGCTGGTGTATCTTCTCTTGCACTTCCACACATACGTCATGTCGAGCAAAGTTTTCGATTTCAATGGTTGTCATAAGAATCTGCCATTTTTTGAGGTGAAATGCTCAAAAATGAGTAAAATTGGTGAACACTACGTGGTTTTGTGCTCATTGAAACATATTGATATGATGCAAAAGTGTGAAAAACTCCAGGAAATTGAGATTGGACACTGATACTACGAATGTGGATCTTACACCACTGCACGGCCTCTTATCAGCGCCGTTACCTTTATCCCCCTTGTTCCGCATGTCATGGTAGTTTCATGCCAAGCCACTGGTACATCGCAGCACTCAGGGCATGGGCGCGAGCTACGCACCGAGATTCAGGTGGTGTTTTTGGTGGCTGATGCATCTGCATCTGCATCTGCGCTAAGTGGTCCATATATGGAGAAATACATATAGAATCATATAGATATATGATAATATATGTCTATATGTAACTGTATAACATTGTATCACTGTTGTCTTCAGGGTGGCAAAAAAATATTGGAAACAACTGCCTGCTAGATGTGGACTTTATTCTTTGTGACAGCTGCCTTGACTTTAGTGGCATTTGTTTCATGTCTTTATGGGGTAGTGACCGACGCTCTGCTCAGAGACATCAGGTTGGGATTCATCACAAATTACTGACCGTGAGCCACAAGAAGCACAGCCGAATGCGTGCAATGTTGGTGGTGGCAATCACCATCACTATCCCCGTCAGGACGATGGAAATGACATGATATCGCTATTGTGATGATTTCTAAGTCTTAGTCTTGCAATATTTTGTGTGATGCATTTCCTGACTACCAGCAGCCATGGCAGGTTCGCCTGTGGATGTAAAGATCGATCTCAAATGAGCCGGGGGTTGGGTCACAGTTCTGTACCCCAAACATGACAGGGTAGGATACTATGAATGAACAGAAATCAATGGAATCACCATGTGTGATCTAGGGATTCTCCGTGACTACCATAGGGAAACAGCCATGGCCGGCTATTTGTGATTGTTTGGGATTCCAGTATGAATACAAATGACCAGCAATTCACATTCTCCATGCAAACCTCGACTTTTGAGGGCCTCGTGAGGAGCTCTGCGTCTAGCATCCCTGGTTCCCTGGCTCATTCACTACCCGTCAGTTGATATTACTGTTCAAAAAATGTAAAGCTTAGATACAGTTTTAGCTAGCTCCTGTACTAAAATCTGACCCCCTGACTTATCAAACGAAGGTTGCCCAGCAAAGAAGCAACCCCTCATCCGGCTAGCTCCTCCCAGTGCCTTTGTTCAGATTCCGTCTAAGACGAGGAGGTCGTTTGTTTTGAGCGAAGCCTATTGTGCTGATGAGGAAGGTATTCTCCTCACCAAATCTATTGCGAGCAGTCCCATCTACCTCCTGAAAACTCAACAGAAACTTGGGGAGACACAAGGCTTTCCGGTTGTAAATGGCCCTTTGCAGCGGTTGAATGTTGAATTTTCAGGGGATCAATTACTTGGGATCTCCCTTTGGGGACATGTTGCTTTAACATCTTTGAAACATTCCCCATGATCCAAAGAATGATACGATGGATTACTATGGTCCGAAATATATAATCAATCATTTCCCAAAAGGTGGCTTGCTGAACATAAAATGATTCCATATCATAATAGTGTCAAACCAACCACATGACTTGTCTGAAAATAGGGTATCCCTAAATCCATTGATTTATCATCAGTTTCTCATTAAACGTGCTATTTTTGGTGTACACCCCATTTTCAGACACATCTATGTCCTATTAATCATTTACAATTGTCAATCATTTACAAAACGAAGAAATCAACCATAATTAACTACGATTAACCACTACAGTATTAATCATTTTAATCACCGTAAGATAACATGTTTGGTCCAGTATCTTTGCCCTGAAATCGGCTCTTTGAGGTGGCACTGCTTGACTAAGCGCTGGTTGCAGGTGAACCAGGCTCTCCATCTTGCATCCCTGGTGGATTGGCGGAACTGACTACATTTGGGCGCACAACACCAGGTACAACAAATGAGAATGGTTTCGAATGGATATGTATGTTCAGATTTGGTGCAGATAGGTGCAGTATATTCCATTTATATATAATCATTTTTTCGTTGTACATGGTACATGTTGGGACATGTGTGTATATCTGCATAAATACTTATGTTGAATGCATGTATGCAGTTTACGTGTACATGTATTTCTACACAGTAGTCCCAAAAAAGGTCAAGAAACAAGCAATAACGTCCCAAAGACAATGACACATTCCTTTTCTATCCTTTTTAGGGATTTCTTTATATTGCTACGTCGTTACTATGTCATGGATGGTACAGAATTTCCTCCACATCCACGTCATGTGGAGCTGGAGCTCACGTCGCCTCTCAGAGATTTCATTTTTGGCACCTGGGGATGCAGCGAGGAAGCGGCCGCGGACCGGGGCATCTGGGATTGGTTGAAAGAGATTGAGTTCTTTAGAGAAAAACCGTGGGTGCAAAAATCTTCAGTTTGTTTAGGGGCATGTGACGCATGCGATTTCTCATGTATTGGTCTCAAAGGAAACATCAGGGGACCCTGTGTTCTTTGCATCCGCAGCTGAATCGACTGGTTTCTTGCACATATTGCCTGAAACCGAGTCTGGGAATTTCATGGCTTTACCAGGAAAAAAATATGTGCTCAGAATCTCAGAACTATGGGTAGAACTGAAACATGCTCATGTTGGATGTGATAACCCCAGAAATATGGTTAAACAATGTTAAACACTGTTAAACATGGTTAAACCAACAAAGACAACCTCGGGGAATGGATGCCAAGCTAGAAAGGATCACGGAGAGAATGCAAAGATTACCTAACTATCAGACAACCTCGACCCACATCAGAGATATGTACCACTGAGAAAAATGAGAGATCGTGCCAACCATGCAAGCGAAATATCACCCTCCAGTTCAGATCTAACGAATGCAAACCGGTTTGCAGGAATGGCCACCCAACTCGATCGCAATCTGACCCACAGACATGAAGATATTAGATACAGTACTGCAAAATGAAGGATTTTCCCTTGGCAATTTTGGCCTAGCAGGGCCTAGCAACCATCCCACCATATTATGGGTGTGTCTGAAAATGCGAACTAATCCCAAGTTCCAGCCATTATCTTTTGGGGAAATTATGATTACCCAGTGGATGGCATGGGTTTTCCCGCAAATTCCAGGTACCAAATCCATATCCCAGCAGAAAGTGGTTCGGTTGTAGGCCCATTTCCCAGTGTTCTAAGCCCCCGTGAAAAATCAACCTGGGTGTGTCTGTATCAACCCTGTTGGTCAATAAGGGCCATCATTCCGAGGAGGAAAATACACAAGGAATAACTAGAGACCAGCCATACCTCCTGCCATCTCTGCCAGTTTTTCCTATTTTCGGGCTGGTAGATCCCGAAAACTTTGAAAACTAGTCCAGTGGTCTGCGGTGGTCTCCTTAACTCGTGGCTTTCCCCTTTTTTTTCGGCTGTTTCCAGGGCACTAAATCCTCCATCTCGCCGAAGTTGGACAGAAGTCGTTGGGCCGTTTTCGTCAAGGCCTGGGATGCGGATCGGTAAAACAGGGCTAAAACCATCCAGCCCTGGCATCCTGGATGCGGAGAGGACAAATATGCTTAAAAATATGTTTAAACTCCAGCAAATCTGATAAATGGTGAACGGTTATGTGTATGTAATGTAATGTAATCTCTATCTAGTCTAATCTAATCTAATCTAATCGAATCAAATCTAATCTAATTGTATGTATGTATGTCTGTCTGTCTGTCTGTCTGTCTGTCTGTCTGTCTGTATGTATGTATGTATGTATGTATGTATGTATATCATGTAAGAATGAAAAATGTAAGAATGTGTATGTATATATATATATATTAAAATATCATATATATGTGTATATAATATGTATTTAATATATAATGCAATGGAGAAGCTACCGGGTCAGGGATCATGTCAGTTGTTGCAACCCCGATCTATGGTGATCACTCTCCCGGACCTATAGGTGTGAATATAGTGGTTGAAAACCTTGTGCCCAATTGGTTTATCAATCAATGTTTAACCCATTTGTAAAGTTGATAAACCAATCGGTTAAAACAACTTTTACTTTGCTTCAAGTACAATTTGATGGTTTAGTTTATCATCGTTGCTATGATTGCCATTTGGAGGTATTCCCCACTTTCAGAGAAACCCGTAAAAGTGATGAAGTGCTGTTTTTTTTCCAACGGTTGCGCTTGTTCAAAACATTACGGAGTCACTGACCCCTTCCATGTGTCGGCCATTGGATGCATATCAAGATTGGAATATAAAATACTATAAACATGATTGTGCTCTCAGGAATCCTTTACCCTCTGGTTATGTCAAAATAGCTATTGAAAATGACCATTAATAGTGGATTTTCCCATTAAGAATGGTGATTTTCAATAGCTATGTTAAATTACCAGAGGGTACATGTTTCAAACATGTTCCAACATGGTTCAAAATAAAACCGGCAGCAACAAATGCATGAACATCCGCCATGATGGGTATCAGCACAAGGTTTCGAAACCATTGACAGGCGGTTTGCTGTTACAACGTCGGATGTGATGGCGAAATCCCAGGGATCATCCCACACCTTGAGAGATTTGGGCCAATCTTGGTGCCTTTTTTCGCAGGAAAGGGAATGATCCAATCCATAGCGATTAACAATCACTAGTAAGAACACAGCTATTAATCTGCTTGGTGGTTTCAACCTACCCCTCCGAAAAACATGAGTTCGTCAGTTGGGATGATGAAATTCCAACTGAATGGAAAGTCATAAAATTACATGGTTCCAAAGCACCAACCAGCTATGAATGTTCCAAACCATAAGTATTAATGATCCATTCTCCCGGTCACAAAAATGCACCAGTAAGTAGAAAAGTCGGAAGAAGCTGCGCGCCAGGCCTGGTATTGGCTTTCTTCCACAGACTGGCCGGATGCCAAATGCAAGCAACAAGACGTGGGGTATACCCCAAAATAACCATTATAAATGCCATTAACATAAGAAAATGATGATAAACTATTGGATTTGCGGACCTTAAAAGTACCAATCCATTCTGATTGAACCACCAGTTGATTGAAGCAACAAAATATTAATCCTGTGGGTATCTCCCAGTTTTCTCCGCTAAACAAATCCCAATGCTTGTTGGCTATACAGATTCCTATCTGCTCATATTTTTGTAATGCCAACGGATGGGCCAAGGATAAATCCCGTTTTGGGAAGCATAATTAAAAGTATAATTAATATATAATTAAATGATGGAAAGTTGGCATTGGGGAATACCATGGCCACAAACATGATTTTGATACATATTCAGCTATTGGATGATATTGGGATATCGTGGTTTTTCGAGGTAAAATATATCATATATCTATTCTATATATACAACATGGCAACACCTGTTTACAGATGGTGGTTTCAATGCTATTCACGGACTCACGACCCCAAAAGAGCTGGTTCCAGTCGCCTCAAGCAACCGAGGCTGGTCCCCTCATTCACTAGGAAAGCAAGCCTCTTTTGCTTAGCATTTGCAATGATTCGTGAATGTGAAAGTCAGACAAACTAAGCACTCCCTGCAAAACTGACCAAGACCCTGCAACGAGAATCGTCGTAAGCACTAAAGCTTTGGAGACTTGATGGCAAGGTCACCCGCTCCAGGCTTTGGTTGAATTTAAAGCCAAAACTCAAGCTTTGGAGACTCGATGGCAAGGTCACCCGCTCCAGGCTTTGGTTGAAATCATCACCAAAACTCAAGCTTTGGAGACTCGATGGAAAGGTCACCCGCTCCAGACTTTGGTTGAAACCACAGCCAAAACTCAAGCTTTGAAGACTCAATGGCAAGGTCACCTGCTCCAGGCTTTGGTTCAACCACCTGCCAAAACTCAAGCTTTGAAGACTTGATGGCAATGTCACCCCCTCCAGGCTTTGGTTGAAGACAGCGCCAAAACTCAAGCTTTGAAGACTCGATGGCAAGGTCACCCGCTCCAGACTTTGGTTGAATCCATCACCAAAACTCAAGCTTTGGAGACTCGATGGCAAGGTCACCCGCTCCAGGTTTTGGTTGAAATCAAAGCCAAAACTCAAGCTTTGGAGACTTGATGGCAAGGTCACCCGCTCCAGGCTTCGGTTGAAATTTTGGCCAAAACTCAAGTTTCGAAGACTCAATGGCAAGGTCACCTGCTCCAGGCTTTGGTTGAACCACCTGCCAAAACTCAAGCTTTGAAGACTTGATGGCAATGTCACCCGCTCCAGGCTTTGGTTGAAACCATGGCCAAAACTCAAGCTTTGAAGACTCGATGGCAAGGTCACCCGCTCCAGGCTTTGGTTGAAATCATCACCAAAACTCAAGCTTTGGAGACTCGATGGCAAGGTCACCCGCTCCAGGATTACTCGATGGCAAGGTCACCCGCTCCAGGATTTGGTTGAACTGATCGCCAAAACGCAAGTTTTGAAGACTCGATGGCAGGGTCACCCGCTCCAGGCTTTGGTTGAAATCAAAGCCATAACTCAAGCTTTGAAGACTCGATGGCAAGGTCACCCGCTCCAGGCTTTGGTTGAAATCATCACCAAAACTCAGGCTTTGAAGACTCGATGGCAAGGTCACCCGCTCCAGACTTTGGTTGAATCCATCACCAAAACTCAATCTTTGGAGACTCGATGGCAAGGTCACCCGCTCCAGGCTTTGGTTGAAACCAAAGCCAAAACCCAAGCTTTGGAGACTCGATGGAAAGGTCACCCGCTCCAGACTTTGGTTGAAGACAGCGCCAAAACTCAAGCTTTGAAGACTCAATGGCAAGGTCACCTGCTCCAGGCTTTGGTTGAACCACCTGCCAAAACTCAAGCTTTGGAGACTTGATGGCAAGATCACCCGCTCCAGGCTTTGGTTGAATTTAAAGCCAAAACTCAAGCTTTGGAGACTCGATGGCAAGGTCACCCGCTCCAGGCTTTGGTTGAAATCCTGGCCAAAACTCAAGCTTTGGAGACTCGATGGCAAGGTCACCCGCTCCAGACTTTGGTTGAACATATTGCCAAAACTCAAGCTTGCAAGGCTACAGGGGAGATTGTGCAAAAAAACTCCATATGTTAGTCCCTCAAGTTTCGTAAGACCTTCCAGAGCAAACTCTCTCTCAGCAGTTGGGAGCCCACAGACATAACACCATGCAGTGTACACATTTGTTGGTATGTAAGTGCAGGACAGCATTGCCGGTTTTCCAACAATCCCTTGCTCTCCAAGGGTTTGATCGAGCATCAGCTTTGCATTCACATGATGCACAGCGAGCTTTGCGCCGGGCTTGCATGGAAGCTTCTCAGACACCAACCTCCGCAGGTCGTACCCAAACATAGAGCGGGGGACGCTTAATCTCACTCCTTCTCCAGTCAGGCACAGCACCTGAAGATCGACCTCATCAGTTTCATCTGCTGCACCTTTGTCAGCAGATGATGGATCCACATAGCCATGTTCTGCACCGGACATTCGTCAACATTTACGCACTCGCTACTGGGCAGAGCCGAAAATCTACACCAGACATCATCCAGCACAAACCCGGCCCAACCCAGCACAACCCTTAAATCTACAACCCAAAGATTGCCATGTCCAACTGGCGTGGAAAATCCATTGAAATTCCTATTCCAGCGCCATTTTGGGGAGTTCAGTCCATTCTGGACATGCCTTAGTCCCCTAAAATCCAACGGTTTTGAGAATCAGTGTTCCTATTGAGATAGCCAGAAATAAAATGGAGTGTATCAAGTTATATCGCATAGGAAGTTTGACTCAAGTCATTCGCAGAGGAAGTTTGACTCAAATGTTGCCTACAATGATGCAGAGGATCTCAGTCATTCGATGGCATCAAGAAAAACCTATGTTAGCGGGGACGGAAAATTGAGACAGAGGAGTAGGGCAACAAAATAACACCAAACCTTAGTTAATGATTTCGGGTGACACCCAAAGTGTTCGGACTACCTTTGAAGGGCGACGGTCAATGCAAAAAGGGCCGAATAATGTCAGGAATCAAACCGAGGTTGTGCGTTTCCTCTAAACTTTGATGTTGACAATATTTTGTTTGCGGTATATCTTTGGTTCTATCCAATTGGGATATGGATATATATATATATACATATTATAATGGGAAAATTCCTCAATTGTATAGACATACCCTCTGGTAATTCAATGAAGCTATGGAAAATGGCCCGTTTAGTTCAATGATTTTTTGTTTTTTAAAAATGGTGATGTTCCATGGTAAACTCTTAAATTACATTAAATGACCAGAGGGTAAAAGTCGTTTGGCAATATGAGTCCTATTGTGGGGAAAACTATGTACTCAATTAGGATCTACAATAAATATATCATAAAATGTATATAGTCCCAAATTATCCCAACTTCTCCTCAATCATTCTATGATCCTAAAGATCCTAAACTAATCCAAAATTGATCCCTATTCTGGTTATATAATGTTATATAAACCCTCGTTTGTTTTGGTTTTCAGGGCGGGAACCTCCCCACAGGTGCTCCTCGGCAGCCATCTGTCTCTGCTTCTGCGCCACCAGACCTTTCTGCTGCTGTGCCAAAGAGCCGGTCGTCTGCGCCGAGCCAAGGAAGCCAAGGGAGCCGTGGATGGCGGGGGGCTAGACCGTTAGACCTGGGAAGATTGGCTGAATCACGGCTGAATCACGGGAAAGAGATGGCAAAATGACTGGTACAACATGGAATGTCCATGAAATGATGGGCAAATCATGTGTCAATCATGGGCAAGTATACTTAAGTAGACCTAGTTCTACTATCATTTGCCAGCTCCCAAAGTCCCAAAATCACCCCGCGCCATGTTTTTCAGCTCCGCGAACTTCTCTTTGCCCAGGACCTTCCGCCCTGCATCTTCGATCTGCTTCTGGTACCTCCGAGCCGCTCGGGGTGATGCCAAAGCCAGCGCATCAAACGCGGTGCCGTTTTACATGTTGATTTATCATAAATTATCATGAAATCATACGAAAATTGGGGCCCTAGCAATCACTAATCATCATCCCAACTTGGCGTTGCACAAGTGACAAACATTTAAGAAACCCCCGCATTGAGGACATCACCCTCTACAATGCTGGAGGATACGACCTTCAGATGACTCCAGTAGGCAGTGATTCCTATCGCGAAAATGATCCAAAATAAACCTAGGAAATGTATAGATATACTTCACCATGATATTTGGCCCTCATGCATGATCGTTTTACACACACACACTTGTTCAGAACTGTCATTGCGAATTCTGTTGTGGAATGCATCTTACATGCAAAAAACACTTCCAGGAATAGGTCAGTGAAGAGGCCCGAAAAGGCATCAAGGAGCTACCATCGCTATAGCCAGTGTAGTTGCCAAATTGAAAATCTTGGAAATATATCCAAATGATCGACACGCCGGTTCTAGGCTTTGCCTGTTGCCATGACAGAAAACTTGAAATGGAAAATGCAGGTATGTTTACACCCCCATGCTGTCTGGTCTTCGTTGGCCAGGACAGACAGTCATGGGTTCCTGGCCCCCTGCAAATTGCAATGAAAAGATATATGGTCAAACCGATAAGCCTGGAAATCAAACAGGTTAGAAGTTTGACATCTCTTCAAATGGATCTCACACACACACACACTTAGTCCTATGTATTCTGAGTTTTGCTTAGATTAGGGTCGTTGTGGTAAACTCAACCATAAAAAGTGTATGAGTTAAACACGATTCTTCCGTTTGGGGTTGTCTATATATATATATAATTATATATATATATATACATACCCTAAGAATCCATGTTGGTAATATAAACACTCGGACCAATGTTTGCCTGAGAGCACTACATTGGTATGTTGGCTTGGGAGCACAACATTGTCGAATTGTCGGGGCTTTGTTTGTCGAATGTCATTGATTTCCAGGGGGTTGATGGCTTGACATGGTGTGCAGCCATTTGCCTTCAAAATTTGTTCAGGGTCTCTTAAAACGAGCACCATACAACCATACAGATTGCATGTTCTTTTTGGTTCCGCTCTTTTGCCATGATATATAAACTATATTAAACTACGTTGGTTAGCGAAATCAAACTTAGTTGCCTTAGATTGGAAATGATTTAAAATTTTAAAGATCTGAAAGAAACTGAAAACCCAAAGCTAAAAAAAGACAGATGCAATTCCGCAATGTCCAGCCAGCTTTGGCCTGGCTTTGACCCTCGAACTCCAACCCTTGCTCTTAGAATATCTGAAAACGCGGTTTTCCTGCAACCTCTATATTCTGTAACCACCATTCCTTGACAATTTGAAGTTTATCATTCGCAAATGATCAGCAGTTTGCTCAAAACCGCTGCTCAAAACACCAAAGCGTATCAGGAAAAAAAACTAAACATTCCTAGACATCACCCAAGCATGTCCGGTCCCCTTCACATTGAGCCCCGGTTAGGTTAGAGGAGCTGCATTTTCAGCATGTTTTTCAGAACATAAACTGGCTGGTCATGAAACTTTCGAAGCTGTTTGCAGGATCTAGTCCTCAAAAAAAAACATATTCCACATGGCCCAGCACGACCATATGTTTTCATTTGTGGGAATCCAACAATCAAAACAGCAAGTGGGCCTCAAAGACTACCGCTTGAAGCAGAGTAAGGTGCACTGTGTTTACATCGCCAGGACGCCTTTACTTTTTCTCCTTTTCTTCCTTATCCCAGTTGTCCCTCTTTGCCTGTTTCCTGGTACCCCGTATTTCCTTACACTATCCTGCAAAACGTGCAACAATTGGCAGGCCCCGCATCTAGAAAAGCGGGTCACGAAAAGCATGATATCATATACCACAATGCTTTGGTATACAAACATGCAAATATCGTTTCACACTCATTGCTCAAGATTGCTTGCAGGTTGCATTACTTTCAAAATATAACTTTACTTGATGTAAAATGATGTAAATATTAATATCTGCAAAAACATACATTACAAAACGGGAAAAAGGCAAACCACCAAATGATTTGATTTACTCTGTGTGATTTTTCAATGACAAAATTGTGTTGTGGCTACTTTTTTTTCTGGGACCCCTACCACGTAGTTTTGTTTAGTATATTTTTTGAACAAGAATGTTTCAAGAAAGGCAAATCAGTTTGAAGAAAAAAACAAGGTATTTGTCTTGGTTTCCCAACTTTTGACCTCAGTCAATGTCAACAACAAAATAAAAACCCTCAACATTTAGATATTATGAGTTTTTGAGTTGTTTGCGCGCGAAACAGTCGTACTGAGAGAACCCATACACACTCACTGAGCTACACTTTACACATTTTTACACCGTACATATGCTGGATTCCTTTGATGAAACATGAATGCTGGGACAGAGTGGTTGCCTCGCTAAAACCTGCTAAAGGACAAATTGTTGATGTCCAGGAGTGGTCGCGCACACTTGTCACATGTTTCTTTCGGCAGAATCATGTTTCATTATATTGCGTGGTTGTGCTGAATTCAAAAGATGATTTGCTTGCTATAGCCTGGCCGCCTGGCCATGCCAGCCAGATATTCATGAGACCACAAACGGCTTGAAGGCAAAAACACATGACATACTCTCACAATCTCTCATAATATATGTATGATTGTTGTTCTAGTTCATCGGTACTTCCTTTCGCGCTTTTGGTGGAGCCATGAAGTCACAACACGGAGAGAATGCAAACAGGAATTATACCTTGGCGCACAGAAACTATATGCTGGTGATTGCTTCCTATCACTGTAAGCCCGAGAAGCATTTCCAACCAAGGCTTGCGGTTGGTGGCAAAGGTCATTCAATGTTTTCTGTTGAATCGCGAATGCTGCACTCAAAATATGAATTGGGTTCGCACAAGCATAGAGCAAAGAGTCCGCAATTCTTTTCGAACAGGTGCCAGACAACCATAGCATCTTGCGCATTGCTGATTTCGGTAGAGCTTGTTATTATGCTTTCATGTCCTTGTAAAGGTGGTATCCAAAAACCGGCTGAGCATGTTTCGCGAAACTTTTGTGCGGCGACTGGGCTCATCAGGCGTGCCACTTACCATTTGTTTCATTTTTTTCAGGAACAATGTGCCTAACGAGACCGTAACGAGACCGTAACGAGACCGTAACGAGATTTGTCGAATGTATTCATTTTTAATAAGGGAACGTTATCGATTTATCGAATTTGCGTAACGAGACCGTAACGAGACCGTAACGAGACCGTAACGAGACCCTAACGAGACCAAAAAATGTTGAGGGTGAGCATTGTCCTGCAAGTGCGTCCAAAAAATCAATGTTGCGGGGAGTGCATGGACTACAGCTTTGACCCTCGAACTCCAACCCTTGCTCTTAGAATATCTGAAAACGCGGTTTTCCTGCAACCTCTATATTCTGTAACCACCATTCCTTGACAATTTGAAGTTTATCATTCGCAAATGGTCAGCAGTTTGCTCAAAACCGCTGCTCAAACACCAAAGTGTACAAGGAAAAACCTAATCACCCAAGCATGTCCGGTCCCGTTCACATTGAGCCCCGGTGAGGTTAGAGGAGCTGTATTTTCAGCATGCTTTTCAGAACACAAACTGGCTGGTCATGAAACTTTCGAAGCTGTTTGCAGGATCTAGTCCTAAAAAAAAACATATTCCACATGGCCCAGCACGACCATATGTTTCATTTGTGGAAATCCAACAATCAAAACAGCAAGTGGGCCTCAAAGACTACAGCTTACATCGCCCGGACGCCTTTAGTTTTTGCTCCTTTTCTTCCTTATCCCAGTTGTCACTCTTTGCCTTCTGCCTTCCAAGCCGTGTTTCCTGGTACCCCGTATTTCCTTACACTATCCTGCAAAACGTGCAACAATTGGCAGGCCCCGCATCTAGAAAAGCGGGTCACGAAAAGCATGATATCATATACCACAATGCTTTGGTATACAAACATGCAAATATCGTTTCACACTCATTGCTCAAGATTGCTTGCAGGTTGCATTACTTTCAAAATATAACTTTACTTGATGTAAAATGATGTAAATATTAATATCTGCAAAAACATACATTACAAAACGGGAAAAAGGCGAACCACCAAGTGATTTGATTTACTCTGTGTGATTTTCAATGACAAAATTGTGTTGTGGCTACTTTTTTCTGGGACCCCTACCACGTAGTTTTGTTTAGTATATTTTTTGAACAAGAATGTTTCAAGAAAGGCAAGTCAGTTTGAAGAAAAAAACAAGGTATTTGTCTTGGTTTCCCAACTTTTGACCTCAGTCAATGTCAACAACAAAATAAAAACCCTCAACATTTAGATATTATGAGTTTTTGAGTTGTTTGCGCGCGAAACAGTCGTACTGAGAGAACCCATACGCACTCACTGAGCTACACTTTACACATCTTTACACCGTACATATGCTGGATTCCTTTGATGAAACATGAATGCTGGGACAGAGTGGTTGCCTCGCTAAAACCTGCTAAAAGACAAATTGTTGATGTCCAGGAGTGGTCGCGCACACTTGTCACATGTTTCTTTCGGCAGAATCATGTTTCATTATATTGCGTGGTTGTGCTGAATTCAAAAGATGATTTGCTTGCTATAGCCTGGCCGCCTGGCCATGCCAGCCAGATATTCATGAGACCACAAACGGCTTGAAGGCAAAAACACATGACATACTCTCACAATCTCTCATATATATGTATGATTGTTGTTCTAGTTCATCGGTACTTCCTTTCGCGCTTTTGGTGGAGCCATGAAGTCACAACACGGAGAGGATGTTCATTTAGAACGCAACAAGTAGATAGTAGCGATCAACTATTGTAGGTGTAAGCTGGTGAAGCATGTTGAAACCAAAACTAGCAGTTGGAAAGATGATTGTTCACATTGACATGTTTTCCGTTGAACCACGCGCACCCCCACTCAGAACATGAATTGGATGAGCAAAGGAAGAAATCACGGACTTGCCACACCATTCCTTTTTTATCCTTTTTTAACATATGGCTACAATGCACAATGCCTTCACATAGTGACTAATACTACTTGCAAGCTGTCGTTGAGTTCCCCAGTAGAAAGAACTGGAAGCAAGGAAGTGAAGGTTAGCGATGGTGGTGGTTGCTTCCAGTCTCATAAAATGAAGTCAATTCTCGTTTGGGCTCTTCTTGAAGGCCAAATTCCAGCAATGTGTTTCTCAACATTTTGTCAAGGCCGTCGGTGCCTGACTAAATATTTATGTTTAAATGGACCAAACTCATTTATGCGGGGGTTTAGTCAAGTATTTGTGGGAATATAGGGTGCTCTATGTGTGATTTTTATCGAATTATCGAAGTTATCGAATTTATCGAATTATCGAATGTAGGCACAATTTGGCTACATTGGTCTCGAACAGGCCAATGTTATCAAAATCAACTACATTGTCGAATGTTAGCATTATTTGCATTGTCGAATGTTAGCATTATTTGCATACACTGGATGCTTTGGGATATGAACTTCAACAAGAATTGCAGACTGGCTTCAGGTTTACCAGTTTACCAGATTACTTCGGTATTTCTACAGCCACGTGCCACAAAATCCGAGGAATCAGACAAAAAAAGAAAACCATGGGATTATCTGGATCATGGTCATCCTCGGTCCAAGGGCACTTTCTTTGCTGCATTTCGTAGAGGTAATGCCTCAGACCCCACATGTTTTCGAGCGCAAAATGCAATTGACTTGGCACATGGATTTTGCCTTTCGGCAGCAGCACCTCTCTAAGACAAGTTCCAATTTTCGGATCTAGATCAAGGCATGTCGCTCTTGTTTTAACCACACCTGGCGAAAAACGCAAACCATGCCAAGGAAAATAGGCCGCATCTTTGGGAATCTGAGGCTCCTGACAGCTTTTGAATGCAACATCAAACCCAATGATGATCAGTGCACCATAGTGCACCCACATGCTTTTTGGCTAACTTCCCATTGTCTTCCCCTTTTTCTCAGGTTTTGCATCCCCTGTTTCTGCTAAACAAAACCCAGGCGATTGTCGCATCTGAGACTCGCGCAACTCTTCGTCCTGGCAAGATCGTCAGCTTTCAACAAGTGGGCATGGCCCAATGTCATATTCCATATACTCCAGGATGGGTATCATATTTTATCATATTACCATATGTCGGTTTAGCACATGTGAATCAGAAACTATGGACTGGACCTCGGTTATCTCTAAAGATGATGAGTATTGAAGTATTTCCTCATAATCCAAGCTTATCACTGGGTTAAGATAAAAACCTTTACATCGTTTTACAGTATACACAGTAGCATTTGTGATATCTGGCATACCTAGTAGTCGTGGTTGAGCTACAAGTCCTTTTTTCAAAACATGTTCGTCAATTGCGATCATCATTCCATTTGCGTGGAAATAACACATATATATTTGAACCCACGAACCAGTCCCATTGGCTCCAAAAAAAGAAAAAACTCCATTTCATGGTGGCTTCACCGCACACGAATTTCTGGTAGAATCATCTAGAATCCCCATTCAATCCCCATTTTACTGGTCTAAATTTGGCATTTGAAAGCCCATGAATTTCCCATTTCAGTTCTCAACGGGCCAAGAGAAGACCATGATTCTCCACACCCAAATGGGAAGAATTAGTTTCTAAACCCTAGGATGTTGATGGTTTCCCAACATTTTCAGACAATTCCGTTTGTACACTATACTTACCAGAGAGGGTTTTATCACCCCTTGGATCCCCCTGGAGAAGGGTCGTATAGTAGTGGTTTACTTGCCATACTTAAATACAGTAATGTTTATCACCAGCCAGCATAGTGTTTTTCCTATAGTCCACCCTCTGGTAATTCAACTAGCTATGGAATGTGCCATATTCAATACTGGCAGCTATATTAAATTACCAGCGAGTATCACCATAATTTGTCGAATATGGGTGTGTCTGAAAATGGGGGACACATACAACCCAGTTCTGGCCATCAAACAATAGGGAAACTGGTTTTCTAAACGATTGGATGGAATGGGGAATAACACGGTATAGCAACCCTCAAGGAGATAGAAGAGAATCAGGGTAGCTCCCAACCCCCCAGTGAAAATATGATGTCCCATCTTTGTGGGGGTTCCTATATGTGCCGTAGTTAAAACTGGGGTAAACTGCCCAAATTGGGGGATGGTTATCAAAGTTATCAATCCATTACTACAGATTCATATATATATAGTATATATATACCATTTATAACCCGGTGTATCTATGTAGGATTTCTTGTGGCTACTATCCAACAATCTCCCGTGATTTTATCCCATGGGAATCCAAAGATCCTGGGTGTTTGTCCAACGGAGACCATGGTAGACCCCGTTTTTTCAGGCCCCGTTGGCGAAGATTTTTGTTGAGGAAAAGGAGCTTTTTGGCAAACCATGGAGCTTAAGCTACTCTATTTTCAGACAAAGCCAGAACGATTGATGGGATTTTGGTTGTAATTTCACCACTATTCACCTTTGATTAGCCCCATTGATTACAACCTTTCCCATCCACAATCAATGGGGATATTATAATACTACATCAAATATCCTCATT